ATTTCTTTAGGTCTTTACTCTGGTATGTCTAACCATGTCAGGGTTAACTGCCTGGGGGAAAACTAAGTTGAGTATGTTAAAAGATGAACATACCGAGTAACTTGGTTACTATTAATTATAATAGAAGAACAGCAAAATGATGTCCTGGTCAATGAGTTTATCTTATTCTTGAATAATGTAGTCCTAACTTTCAAATTTCTCCAGTGGGTCTAGAGGTAAGTTTCTGTACATAGAACAACACTTAAAGGCATGTTAATAAACTGGAAAACACTTAAAAAATTACATAAGTCAGCACAAGAAAGACAAAAATTCCAAATGGGCATAGAACACAGGTAATGGGAATAAATATGAAAATATAAAGAGGAAAAACTGTATAATATTATTAGTCCTCAGAGAAATACATATTAAAACGATAGGGGTTTTGGGCCTAACAAGATGACAACAATAAAAATATAAAACTCATTGTTGAGTGAGTGGTGATGAAATGGGTACACTCTTAATGCTATGTGGAAAAGTAACACAATAGTAATACAATCTGTTGTTTATATTTTTGCATTAAAGGTAATGTAAAACTTTTTCATGTATAAAACTTGTTTTAATACATTTATTAAAATACTCAGTATATTATAATTTTAAAATTTACAACTTCATTGTTTTAATATAGTTTACAATATCTTTAACTTGTGTTTACTTGGACTGATTTATAGTGTCTGCATTTATTTACATTGAATGGATTTATTCATTTGTTCAACAGACAGTACTGATTACCTACTGCGTTCAAGGCTGTCACACACATGGTGCATAGTGGTGAGCAAAAGAGACGTGAGCCCAACCATCATGGAGTTTAAAGCCGAGTAGGGGATGTAGACTTGAACAATTACACGTAAATACACAGTTAGAAATTACAATTGACCACCAGCTGCTAGGCGGAGAATTTATTGTCAGGGTAGCAGCAGGGATCCCTGCTAGGAAGCAGTGGCAGGAGACTGCATGACACAGGATTACCTTGGTCTAGGGTGGTGACGGTCAGTGCTTGGATTTGGAGCACTTTTTGAAAAAGAGATAAATGGCATAAGATTGTGGACATTAAATGCTTTTTTTTTTTGGTATGATATTTTAGGATGCCATGTTGAATGTATCTATTGTAATAACTATCATTTTAAAAAAAGTAGACCAACCATATTTCCTTAGCATCTTTTACCAGAAGCGGCATTCACTGTGTGAAAGGCTGTGACCAGCCCTGAGGCTCTTGATAAGTGTTGCACTTGCTTTCTGAAAGGATTGTACCTGTTTGTCACCAGAAATGTCTGACTTCTGTCTACACTTAACTTTCGCATACCACAGTATATGTCATTTAGAAACGGCTTTTTTCCCCCCTACAAATACGTAAAATAGTACTTTAGTTGGGAGTAAAGGGAAATATACGGAATAACTTTCCTTCATTTAATATTGTATTAGATTGAGTTAGTTTTTAGGTGGCTTGCTTTTATCCTTGTTTCCGAAGGATGTTAATAACCTATGTACCTGATATAAAAGTTTATTCTATTTGAAAGACTGGAAATGATACTAATTAAAAATGTGAAGTCTTAATCCTGTTCTTGCTCTGTCTTTAACTAGTTTCACTGTAGAATCTATGTGGTTTTAAACTGATTAGGCTTTGATAGCCTGTGCTTTCTCAGGGATGATTTTTTTTAAAGTATAAAAGTAAAATGTGTTGAGAATATTTAGATTTGTGAAAAGGTATTTTACTAGCTGAGAGCAGGAGATGGCAAACTTCTGTAAAAGGTCACTTGGGTATTTGTCACATACTCTTTTTTGTTTTTAAACAACCATTTAAAACCATGAAAACTCTTCTTGGTTCATAGGCTATACAAAAACAGGTGGCCAGGATTTGGCCTGTGGACAGTAGCTTGCTGTGCCCTTATTTAGACTCCAATCTTGGGAAAGATTCTACACTGGTGCATAATTTTTTTCTACCTCCTTATACTTCTTTTTTCAATGGGTAACCTGAAGTTGGAACAAAATCTTTAGTATTTACATACCATTTTTGTTACGCTTGTTATCTGCTTTGCCTTAAAAAGTGTTAGTTCTTTTCAGATCATACCTCGCCATTTAGCACTTTTGTTCTTAAGTTTTTACCAAGTTGCACTGCCTTTTTATATAGCTCAGTGACTGTGCTTCTAAGGGTGACTCTAGTTAAAATTAACTTGGGAAATAACTGAATTTTTAACCTAAACCTATTATTTGTGATCTGCAGATTGCTCCTCGTTGTTTATAGGTAGGTTGTAGATTACTTTTTTCAGTAACAGAACTTTGCTGTCAATTTAGGATTTAGAAGGGAACAGATAACAGGAATGAATAGGGACTGCTTTCCCAGTTTCTCAGTCCCTTTGATGGAGTGCTCATGGGAATATATTATGAAATGCATGCAGAAACTACTAATACTCCACATTATATGCTTTTGAAACACAAAGTGTTTGAAAATTTTGTAAATGGGAGTTTACTGAGGTATATGTACATCTTGGAGGTGATATCCACGGGCAGATGGTGAGTAATCCCCCAGTCATGCCTTAGGTAGAGATTTGTGTGGCTTAGAAAGTATAATCCTTAATTTTATTGTTGATAGAAAATTTTAAAGGCTGAAGAAACTATCAGCCATAAGGTTAGCGCAAGCTAGTGCTGGCAAGTGAGGAACGTGAGGGGACAGCAGTAGGTAAGGAAAAGGCACCTTTGGTCTGTTTTACATGCTTAGTAGCCTCCCCTGGGTAATGAATGGATTGACTCTAAGACACTGTCCTCTGCTCTCCATTTCCCCTCTTTCATTATACTTCAAAACACTGCTTTTCAATTTCTAGTATACAGGAATTCTTTTAAGTAGTTAATTAAGGGAATAAGCTAAAATAAAATGTCAACCAAATGTTCACATCCTTAGTCAAGAGCTTCTTATTTAGAAAATTAAGTAAATATTCATTCTTTTTTTCTGGTGAGATCATTTTTATTACAGGCAATTTTAAATATAGTTTACTTTAAAAGATAAACAGAAGATCATAGTCTAGTATGGTAATCTTTTCACAGTTTTTAAAATTAAAAGCCAAAGAAAGAAATGCATTTAATGTAATATCTATATTAACCCCCCTCAAAAAAGATAAGCAAGAAATGAGTTATTTCTTAAATTAATGATCTCCATCAGAGACATACCCTTTGTTAACATTTTGATGGATGTACCATCAGTTTTGTAATGTATGTATGGATACATTTTTACCGATATGTAGATATATTTTATTGGGATCATGCTACATATCTTTGTATTCTCCTTATACTAGAAACATTTTTCAAACATTTTACCAAAAGCTTGATTTTAAATGACCACCTTTTAAATGATAGGTCTATAAAGTAATTTATGAATTAAGGGTGGAACAATAAGAAACAGTGTCCTTAGGTTTATACTTCATACCCCTTATCAGCACTGCCTCTGATTCTATGACTACACATGGCACCATCCGTTTCCTTATTTTTTGAAGTCTATTTTGGCAGAGGGTTTGTAAAACCTTGTATTCTTACGTATTAATCAGAAGTCTCAGATTTTCAATTCCAGATTGTTATGTTACCCACCCTCTTTCCTTTACTCCTTCTTGAAAGCTGCGTAGTCGCTAAGATACCGTCTCTTCCTCCTTCCTTCCACCTGCCTCTTTTTTTACTAGAGGCCTCCCAGGATTTGCAGACAGGTCATTCTCTTTAACTTTATCATAGTATCCATCTGGCTGTTAAGTGTTCCCAGGACTTCGGAAATGGATAAATAAGGGCATTAAAATTCTCTGTATTGACCATTCTCTTACGTATTCCCTTGGCTGTAAGTAAAATTAATGCATGGCAAATGTAAATTGCTTGATTTTTCTTGCCATCTAAATGATCCAGAATAAAAGAGTTAGTAGAGCTATCTCATTTTGTAATAATTATTTTCCTTTATAGAGAATTTGGGTCTTTTTGTTATGAATATGCACATTTACATTATTGAATCTCTGTATAACACCTTTTTAAAAAAAACCTTTTTTTAACTGCAGTAAGATACACATTTATATATAATATATATATTATATGTAATATACCTTTATATATATAATTTATCATTGCAGCCATTTTAAGTGTACAGTCTAGTGGCATTAAGTAAATTCACAGTATTGGACAACCATTAGCTCTGTTTCCAGAACTTTCTCACCATCCCAAACTGAAACTCTATGCCCATTAAATAATAACTTTCCAACTCCCCTCTCCCCCAGCCCCAGGAACCTCTATTCTACTTTTTGTCTCTGTGACTTTACATATTCTAGGTATCTCAATATAAGTGGAATCATAGAATGGTTGTCCTTCTATGTCTAACTTATTTTACTTAGCATAATGTTTTCAAGGTTCATCCATGTTGTAGCATATATCAGAACTCCATTCCTTTTTATGGCTGAATAATATTCCTGTGTGTGTGTGTGTGTGTGTGTGTGTGTGTGTGTGTGTGCCCCCATGTGCACGTGTTTATCCATTCATCTGTTTAATAAACACTTCGGTTGTTTCTACATTTTAGCTATTATAAAATATGCTGCTGTGACCATTGGCATACACGTGTTTGGGTTTCTGCTTTCAGTTCTTCTGTTTATATACCTGGGAATGGGATTGCTGGATTTTATGGTACTTCTGTGTATAACTTTTTATTCTCTGTATCCTCACTAGCACTTGTTATTTTCTTTCTTTCTTTTTTTTTAAGTAGCCATCCTAATGGGTGTAAAGTGATAACTCATTTTGATTTGTATTTCCTAAGTGATGTTAGGTATCTATCTTTTCAAGTGTTTATTGGCCACTTATGTATTTTCTTTGGAGATTTGTCTGTTCAAGTACTTTGCCCAGTTTTGAATTGGGTTGTTTTGTTTGTTTGTTCTAGAGTTGTGTCTGACATCTTTCTTAAAAATAAAAGATGCGCCATAATAATCCAGACTGTGTTTCTCCCTTCTCAGGATTCCTACAGGAAACAAGTAGTAATTGATGGAGAAACCTGTCTCTTGGATATTCTCGACACAGCAGGTCAAGAGGAGTACAGTGCAATGAGGGACCAGTACATGAGGACTGGGGAGGGCTTTCTTTGTGTATTTGCCATAAATAATACTAAGTCATTTGAAGATATTCACCATTATAGGTGGGTTTAAGTTGAATAAAATAGACATTGAGGGGTAATTGTATCTTCCGTTTATTGAGTCTTTGCTAACTGCCATGCACAAGTTATCTAATTTAAATTTTAAAATAATTTTTATGAGGTAGGTAATACCCCTGTTTTAGAAATGAAGTTCTTAAGGATTAGAGCGATTGTGTAACTTGTTCCGGATCACATGGTAGTAGTGATGGAATTGAAACGTAGGCCCATTTGACTCTAAAACCTGTGCTCTTAACCACTCTATACTGGAGAAACAAGGCTTTAAGCTAGATCCATCATAAAAATAAAAACCATGAACAAAAATGTGAAAAGGTAATTGAGATGGTGCCTTAAATTTAGGTGCCGAATACTATATTTAGTGTAGAATTCCTTGGAATCAGATAAATGTTGGCCTTAGATAATTAAGGAAAAAAGCATAACTCTAAAGTTGTAAGATTGAAGTGTTAGAACAATACAGTATTTAAAGAATCTGAGAATTTTGCATAAAACCATCTACTTCTAATAAAATAATTGTCCACATAGCTATCAAAATCTTTTCACTTGGTGCTCTTTTTTTAAAGAATGGAATGTGAAGAATTGTGTTTATGTTATAATTCATATTTTTTAAAAAGCTTTTTAATTCTACATATACATTTAACAACATATATAGTATATGTTTCTAAGATTAAATTTTTTTAAATTAGGCATAACACTCTTTTGGCCTAGAATTGTTCAATATTTCTGTTTTATCATTCTGACCTACCTGCATATGAACCTACTGGATTGTAGTTTTACTATACTTCTAGATATTTGATCTTTTAAGGGGCACAGAGAAAACTAACTTGAAGGAGGAAAAAGGAAAATTTGGTGTGATGGGAACTAGGTCTTTTAGCCATATTTTATGAGACGAAGTTGGACAATTTTTGAAAGGTTTTTGTTACTAATTCTTCTGCTATAACTTTTTTCCCTTCCTCCCCAGAGAACAGATAAAAAGAGTTAAAGACTCTGAAGATGTACCTATGGTCCTAGTAGGAAATAAATGTGATTTGCCTTCTAGAACAGTAGACACAAAACAGGCTCAGGACTTAGCAAGAAGTTATGGAATTCCTTTCATTGAAACATCAGCAAAGACAAGACAGGTAAGTAAAACTGTAATAAATACAAACCTCTTCTCTGCAGACTATTTCAAGTGATTTTAATCATTAATCATCATTTACTATTACATATTTTAATATTGTCATTTGGGGCCAGGAGGGCAAGAACATTAATACACATACTTGATAGCATTATTGTTATATCAGTTGATCTAATTTGTCAGGTTTTTTTTCTATTATACTCAAATAGGAAATGAAACAATATTTATTTGGTAAATGTTCTCTTAAGGATGTGGGAGGCAGCCCTTCTTACTCCGGTGCCTGTGGTATTATTTTTGGCTTTAGTTTCTTTCTACACTGAACTTTTTTCTTCCACTCAGCACATCTTATATTCAAGATTCAAGAAATGTGGGAATTTTTTTTTTTTACTGTTATATTTATAAAGTCAAAGAGCAAGGAAACAAATTTTGAGTTTCCTATTTTAGAAGTGCTTTTAAGAGTATTATGTCATATGTTTTCTAGACTGAATTTTGTTGTATTTGAAGAATTTTACTCTGGTAGAATTTTTGTAAGGATATATTTATTTTTGAAGAAAGTTTTATTAAAGCAAGAGAATATTTAAAAATTATTCATTTACTGTGCTGTTCTGATAAAAAATATTGCCAGCTTGGTCCTGAATTTTTCAAAAATTATCTTTATGTTAAAAGTAACTTTTTCTCTAAGTAAAATAAAATAATTGATATTATTTAACCTATTTGTATGAAATAAGAGTTTAACATATAGAAAAAAATCCTAGAAAGGAATATATGAGGCTATGATGGGATACTAATATGTTCCACACAATATGGAACCTTTTATGGGGCCTTGCCATGTGTGCAACTATGAACCCAGAAAACCAATTTCATGGAATTTAACTTCATAATGCTAGAAGCTGAAAACTGATGAACATCTCGTTACATGGTTTAACTTACAAAAACACACTCTTGACCTTTTCACTAAATTTTGTAAAGGGGGAAATACTTTAAAGTAAACCATCATTCAGCTAGTATGTATGTCTGTTTCCCTAGTGGAAGATCACATGTACCACTTTCTAGTTGTGCAAATTTGATACACAGTGAAAAAAAAAAAAGAATTCTATTTTAAGTTTTCATTTTGGGATTAAAAGCTGAATTTCTGGGGTGTTTGATCATAGTATAGATATCTCATTCTAAAATCTGATCTATAAGTTAAAGAAATATTTGGTATATATATTATTTCACTTTACTTTGGAGGAATTAAAATTTCATTCATATCATTCCCAGGTCCCGAAGACTGGGTAATGGTTTGGTTTTCGTCTTCTTTGAACTGGTCTTCTCTGACCTTGATTTCCCTTAGGAGGTACTCAGAAAACATGATTATCGTGTTACAACTTTTTCTCCCATTTGCATATGAAAAAATTTCAGATATATAATTGAAGGAATTTTATTGAAAACATTTACAAACCTACTATCTAGAATATACCATAAATATTGTATTAACTTGCATTATTTGCAACTTTTAAAAGATACCTTTTAGACTAGCGAACATGTTAATTTACATTTTCTAAAGAAAAGAAAAAAAAATCTAAGGGACTTGGCCTAATGCTGTAAAGGGCTGCAAATAAAGCAGTGCTTCTCATACTTGAATACGCCTATGAATCAACTGGGCTTCCTACTCAGATCCAGATTCTAATTCTGAATTAGAATTAGGGTCTAGGCTGAACCTGCGATTCTGCATTTTTAGCAAGCTCTGAGGTGTTGCTCACTTTGGTACGTGGGCTACATTTGCAACAGAAAGGCAATAAAGGGCAGTAAAAGGAAGTCTTGTTATTCCTACAGTGTTGCCCTCCCCTTCTCATTCTGTAAGAGCCTAAGGAGCTGTATCTTCTTTCCTAGTTGTATGGTTACTACCTCAGAAGTATTGCTCATTCTTAGTGTTTGACGTTAGTGCTTTAACATACCCCAGCATCATAACTAATCAGAAGAATACCTGGTTTCCTTTTAAAATAGATGTTTAGGTTTTATACTGTGGGGGTGTGGGGGGGGGTAGGGAACGGGATATAGTATGTGTGATACCAGTGGATTAACTTAAATTTGCTTTGTAGACATTTTTTATGGATTGTTAAAATATAAGGAATACTTGTACTTTATTTCTTAACCTTCTGTCACTCAGCTTTTCTTATATTTAAATCCTGTTTCATTGATACTGTTATGTAATTTATGTTGCTAGATTATAATCAGATATTTAGTTTCTGATCTTTGATTTTTTCTCTTTATTACATGGACTTGTTGATTTGCCTTTCAAAAGTTTATTCATCTTTCTCTGTTGAAATTAACTTGATATTTGCATGCTTTTGGAAGACTTTAAAGAGCTATTCCAAGTAACTGAGAAAATGATATATGTAAATTTCCGTAAATTTTACATCCCCAGATTTTGTGAAAATTTGAAGCCCTATTTTCTGCGGTGTTTTATTGTGCATCTGCTATTTATTATTCAAACAAAATAAATATGCTTATCCTTGTTGCATTTAATCAGCAGCTACTTGCTTCACGCCCTAAGTTTTGGTCTTGAGCATGAACTTAAAATACAAACAACAGAAAGTTATATTCAAGTCAGCAGGAACAGGACATTCATTTAGAACTTTTGGTAGATATAAGTCAGGGGCTGGCTGACTTTCTCTGCGAAAGGCCAGATGGTAAATAGTTTAGGCTTTGTGAGTCACAGGTGGTATCTGTTGCATTTTTTTTCTTACAAACTTTTAAAAATGTGGAAACCATGCTAAGCTTGTGGCCAGTACAGAAGTACGGGCGGTGGCTGCACTGGGCTTGCAGGTTACAGTGTGCTGGTCATTGACCGTCTGGGGAGCTGTGTTCTTTGACTAGACGTGGGAAGTTAGGTCAGACTTAAATTTTACAGGCGAACATTAGTAATTTTAAAGTAAAACATGTATTCTGTGAAAGAGAAATAGTTTTGCTATGGCTTTTTTAAGGTAAGGGTTGCAGACTATATATTTTACCAACTTAATTAGTTTCTTATTTTAAAAAGCCCATTATATGGCTAGAATATAATGAATTCTATTTTTTAACCATCATTTTAGTCCACATCCAAAAGGCCACTGGTTTTTATTTTCTGCCAGTGTGCTGTATGTGGTCCCTATGTTCCTAGTGTATAAAGACTGCTACCTGGTTCACGTTTATCTGGGCAGTTACGAAGTGACATTTTCCTGCCCTCTTTGGACAGTGCATGGCAGTGTTGGCAAAGGCTCTTGAAACCAAAACACTGACACCGTGGTAATGAGCTGTGTGTTTTCCAGTCTGCTAAAATCAAAAGTAGGGAGCATTCAGTAAAGTGGATGACAAAAGCAGAATTCTCTGAGTATCTGCCACTCGCGATTCAGCTTTTTGCTCTCTGGACATCTCAATTTGAGCATAAGATGAAAACTTGTTTTATGAACTTAAAAATATTGAGTGATTAATTTTCTGGGTTTTGCTGTTAATTTCTAGATACTTAAAATTAATTGTTAGAAGACCTCCATTAAAGAAAGCTCATACGCAAATAGTTTTCACAGAGCAAACCTAACAAAAACACTTCCTTACATGCCATATTTCTTTGTTCAATAGTAGTTGGGTTTGTGTACATAAGATCAGTATTTTGAGCTTCAGCTTTTCATGAGTTAAAAGTAGATAAAACAGTTACTGAGCAGCTGCTGTGCACCCACTTTATGGCCTCTCAAATAATGATATTGTTGCATTTCAGTGGCTCCTGAGATGGGTTATCATTGGGCAAGGTTTCTTTCCAATCCAGCAGAGTGAAGTTGCTTTTTGGAATACATCTTGTTCCCCCCATCCCTCTCCCTCAAGAAGGCTAGTATTCTTTCATCCGTCTACAGTTTGGGTATTTGAAGTGTTATTTATTTCCTTGAAAGAGTTTTTGCAGATAATGAGCCATTCAACTGGAACAAACGCTTGTTTAAAATTAAATGGCTTAGTGAAAGTGTTATAGGCACCAGGTATAGAATGGTGTTAGTCGTTCGTTCTTTCTCCTGTACTGGGAGTGCTCTATTTCTATAGCCTCACAATATGTTTTCAGATCATAGCTGAGCTGAAAATATTGTCAAATCTCTTGATTTAAAAAAATTCACATTATATGAAAAAAGTCACTTTTGTTCCTACATGCACTTTTGTTTTATATTGTAATTCTTAAAGTTTTAATAATTAACATTTGAAAATGAGTATACTTGGCAACAAGCCATGTTATCAAGAATAAATCATTACATGGCAGTTAAGACCTTAGGAACTACTCATAGTGGGTATTAAACATCTGTTTTGGCTGCACTTAATCTTCTAAAATTACCTACAAATTTTGGAATATAAAACCAGTGTTCTATGCCACTGGTTTAAGATACACAACAAGGATCAATAACGTTCTCTTGATGTCAGTATGACTTTAAAGCATATTATCAGGAAATAAGTAATTAAAGTCAGAAAATATGGTAAATAAATGATTCTTTAAAATCTAATTTAAATGTCTTATTAGTAAAAATGAGAAATGATAAAAGTCACTCTGGAATAACTGTTTCTCAGTGTTGTTAATTATCTTAACCTCTGAGGTCCTCATACTGAATTCTTGGTGGCGGGTAGTAATCATTTCTTTTTAATTACTGGCTTCCAATTCTCTCTGCATTGCTGGAAACAAAAATCATATATTCTGGCATTGGTGATGGGGATGTGCACACTTAAAAAGTAGACACTTTCAAACTAATTTTAGAAATAAGTTACCATCAAAATTTGCTTCTGCTAAATTAGTAGAGGACCAAACCCCTATTTTACCCCATCATAGTGTGTTTCAGTACTTTTACATTGACTTTGTGACTTTTTTAAAAACACAAATAAAAGTTTATATTACTGAAAAATATGAGCTTTACCTGGTTTGTTTTATTTATATATATATATATATTTTTAATTTCTTACATTGATTTTCAAATTGAAAGGAATCATTTGTGAAAATATCTTAAATACATGCTCATGCTTTACTAGAGCTGTTTTAACACTTTAAATTATTTCTCTAATTTAATCACGAGGATTTCTGATACATAATTTTTAAGGACTTAAGAGTAAAACAAACCCTCTCGAGAATTAATGATAAATATAAAATATTAAAAATTTTGGATACAGGTACAAATGGCTATCTAATTTAAAGTACCAACATATTTAATGATTTCAGAAAATAGTTGGAAATTTTAATTTTGAAGTTGGCTTAGCTAGCAAGTTGATTAAATTGATTCCATTAAAAATAGGATATAAAAATTTCCTTGGGCTATCATGCCTTTTGTATTGGATAGCTAAATTTAAAAAAAATCATAAAATGGTAATAAGTAACCTGAGCGGTACATTATAATATATAATCAACATATTATTTAAATCCCTACTTCTTAACTGAAACTTTTATGAATTTTAAATTAAAGTTTTACTCTAAAGGTAAATTACTGAGTCCCACTGAAGCAGTTCTTAATATATTCTTGACATTTATAAAAATTAATATACCCTAAAGAATTGAGGTCCCCTTTTTCTTAACTGTTGTAGGCAGTGGATGTGCAATGACTTCAGCATGCAAAAATTAAGCCTTAGCTGTTGGTTTACTTAAGTTAATACTTAAGTGGCTGATTCTCTGTGCCTAAATGAATTTAAAATTACAAACCATACTTTTGATACATACTAGTTTTTTAGGTACTGGGTCCATTTTGTCACATTTGGTTCATAGAAAGACTGCTGTTACCAATCCCAGAGAGCTAAAATGTGCCAGTCCCTGTTGTTAATCATTCATTCTTAAAATTAAAGGAACAGTTTAAGGTCAAAATTAAATGCGTAATAAAATATACCACTGACATCTTTTCCTAAACACATCTTTCTTTTCAAAGAATGAGCACACATACTTAAGTTAGTCTGTACAACATGTAGATGAATATTTGTGTGCATTTCTCTTTTAGATGCAGGCTTCTACTTTGGTGCTGATGTTTCTCTGGGCAAACCAGCAGTACAGTTATCGGAACATTTTGTCCTCTCGGCTACCACCTAATTCTCTAGACTGGAGAGGACAGTAAAACCTTGACTGAGCCCCAGACGGCCATATATGATTGTGTTTGTTGTCATAGATTTCCTTCCATCACCTTGAGCAGGAAAAGCCCCCTCTGCCCCTTCAGAGTATTCAAATTGGAATAGAACGTATGACCAGTATAGTTGAATATTGTTTTAAAAATTAATTTTTAAGACATTTCAAAATAGTTTCATTTTCTGGTAAACGGTCCTCATTCAGCATTTTTATTTAAATAATGTAGTTCTCCATCCATAAAGTCCCAGTCCCAGTCTCAGTTGTGGGCTCTGGAAACTGAACAGTGTTGTGATTGAAGATAGGACTTGATTCCAGTCTCTCGACCCAGCTATATTTTGAGGTATTTTGTGCGTGTGTGTTTAAACAAAGGTTAAATATCCCTTTTGCACCATTTTTCTCCTCATTCCTCACTCAGAGCAGGGGTGGGAATCAGTGTTGTTTTCCCAAAATCAAAGAACTACTTTAAGTCTAACTTCAGTTTAGGCTTTGATTAATTCCAGAACTAGCAAACTAAAATGACTGCACTAAGTTGATACATAGGGTCCTAATTTAAGTTTTTTTTTTAATTCTAATCACATTACAAAATAAAACTGACTTTAAAGAACAAACCAGGATTTAGCCCATATTTTAAAATTGAATCCCCAGTTTCATTCAAACAATCTGATGTCTGTTTAAAAACAAATTCTCAAATAAAGCTCTTAATTTCAAACTTCTTGCACATGGCTGTCCCAATAAATTATTTTTACCAGTGAAACAGACTTTAAAGAAAGTTGTGTTTTACAATGCAGAGAGTGGAGGATGCTTTCTATACATTGGTGAGAGAGATCCGACAATACAGATTGAAAAAAATCTGCAAAGAAGAAAAGACTCCTGGCTGTGTGAAAATTAAAAAATGCATTGTAATGTAATCTGGTAAGTTCGGCATATTAATTTTGGCAGAAAGCAGGTTTTTTCAAAGGTAACAAAGTAGTATCCACCTTAGAACTTACCTAGGTGTGGATTCTAATGTGAAGTATTAAAAAGTAAGAAACCTGTAGTTTGTTTCCCTGGTTAACACATTTATTTTTAATCTAATGGGAATTAATAATAATTGAGGCGGTTCTGATGACCATAGACCATTAGATGACCATTGTCACAGGGTCTAGAGAGAAGAAATGTGAGGAGCCGTACAGAGGGGTCAGGTGAATGGCCCAGAAGGTGGGAAAGGGCCACTCTGACGGTGTGTTTTTCTTTTGGACATTCCACAAGCAAACTCCTGTTCTGTCTGTGCTCTCTGACTCAGTGGCATCGTCACTTTTATACCCAAGTGAGAAACCTGGCAGTCTTGGGATGATTCCTAAACCCCTCTTTTTCACCCCCATCTGGAGGCAACTACAAATCCTGTTAAGATGTTACATTCTAACTTCTGTTACATCATTGGTTCAGGCCCCTATGAGGTCTTGCTGGGACTGTTGTAACCTCTTACTTGGTTTACCTTTTGCTGCCTTCATTCACAGTGTAACCAGAGAGATACACTTAAAAGAAACGTCATTTTCTTATCTTTAAATCTAATCACCTGTTACTGTAGAACAAAGTCTCAAGTTTCATAGCATATATATTGCTCTTAACACCTTCCTCCCTCTTCAGCCTTTGGCCTTTTCTCTAAAAACTCCTTGCCTGAAATGTTTTTGTCCTTATGTAAATCAGTACCTCGTTATTTCTTAACTTCCTTTGAGTCTCGGCTGTTGCTCTTGTTTGGAAAGCCAGTGTTCTTAGCTCCTAGCCTTCCTGATACACTTCCATGATTGCCTAATCTCTTGTTCTCTAAGAATCTTTCTTTCAACCCCATAGACTGGGCATAAAGCTCTGCCTGTGTATTCCCAGTATACTGCTTGTAACTGCGCCATCCTCACCATGTTAAACTGAAATAACCTCTTTTATATTTGAGTCCTGTACAGTAAGAATCTTAGCCAGAATCATATATTTTTAATCTTTGCATGTCCATGACCTAATGAGATTCCTGGCACACAGTAGCTGCCCAGTTGGATTTACTGAGTGAAGTTTCTCAATTTCCATTATTAAACCAACCCATATTAAATTTGGTCTTGCTCAGAAAATATTTCACTTAATTGATGCCGTAAAGTACATGCCAAAGCTTAAGATTTTGATGCATATTATTTGTAACATGTAATGTTCTGTGAGAACATGAAATAAAATTATAGAACATCATTTATTGTACTGATTAAACTAAAGGTTGGTATTCTTTATGATATGAGTTTAAATTTTGAAGTAATATATTTTCCCCAAATATAAAATAAACATCTGAATAATAGCCTAAGTTCCAAAAGATACTATGTGGTATACTGATGAACTAAACTCAGAAGAAGAAACAAAGCATGACTGGCATGAATTTTTATTGAGATTTGTGAATGCTTAGTATTTTTTGAGTATCACTGTGTAAAGCAATATTTTAATTTAAAAGTTGTGGTAAAACAACACCATGATGTAGTCTGAAAAGTAAAACATTTAAAAATAATAGTAGGCATGACCAGATTTAGGTGATAGTTTTTTTAAATTCTCTCCTCTTATTGTCTTTATTAGATGATTTTAAAAGCAGAACTATTTAGAATAAGTTTTATGATTTAGTTTTTATTTAAAGCAAAGGTGAAAGCATATACTTTTCTGACATTTCTGATTTGTGCAGACTACGTTGTCAGTGACTGTGGTCTGAATGTCAGATTGTTGGGCATGATGAACCGAGTCCTTAATTTTTTCAGTGGATATAGATAGCATTTACATAAAGAAAAAAGTACTTGGGTAATACTTAAAATTTTAAACAAAGTATTTTTACAGAATTAATTTGACAAAGGTAAATATGTACAAATTAGTTTCTCTTCATCCCAAAATGATGAGTTTAAACAAAATAATTGTCTATTATGTGTGTTGTGAAATGATTAATTTCCACATGAAAAAAGGCATTCACTGCCCTATTTTAACATTTCCCTAATCATTGAAGTCATTAATTTTAGTAAGATTATATAAGAAGGAAAGTTCAGTGCAATATGAATGTAAAGTATTTGTCAGAATCTTAGAAGGTAATGTTATCAGATTCTGCCCTCATTGTCTCCTAAATACTTATGTGTTGTCTTCACCTTAGGCTGTGTCTTCTCTATACCCATCTCATGGTTCTTCATTTTATCTGCTTCCCCATTTTGGTACCATTGACATTTTTCTTCATTATAAAAGGAGTTGAAATGGGGTAGACTACATAAGGATGTGTGATCAAAGGGAATTTGTGAGGGTAGGAAACTGGAGGAGATCCTCTTTTATGATTCCATGTCATTCTAAGAGTTTATGATTATAAATTAGGCGTTGGTGAGCTATCAAATAATTACTCTTTATTATATCATTGGAAGTTTTTTGCTCTTTATGTGTAGAGGGTTAGCATGAAGGTTTATATAAAGCCTTGACTATATTGCTGATAAGCTGTCTGACCACTTTTTCCCTCTCCTTTGAGTGAAACAGAAGCATATGTTACATCAGTAGTGATACCGGAACATCAGTGAGTGCAGTCTGGGGGCTTCGCTGGGGACTTTTATTCACTGGTATTTAAACCAATAATGCTGGTGGCTCTCCTACTGTTTCAATGTGAGCAAGCCTCTCATTCCCATTCTGTGTTTAATTCTTTAAAAATATTGGTAATACTTTTCTAAATTTTAGATCTATTGTGAAAATTAGTTAAATGTAACTTGAATGAAAATGCCCTGAACTAATTTTATTATTTTGAAATATTAATTGTAGATCTTAGTAATGCAGTAAAGGAGAAATGATATATCACTATTAAATCTTCAAATTTTAAATTATTTTCAAGATAATGTAACTTAATGAATGTGTTTATATTAATATTCAATAGAGGTGGTTTAAATGAGTAAAAACCCAGTTTTCATTGCTCTTAAAGTGGCTTGATTTATACAACTTCATTTGGTGCGTGTTTGTTCCTAAGACTCCCTCTAGTGCTAGGTTTGAAAACATTAGGTTAACAGGCGCTTTTTTTTTTTTTTGATACTACTCAGTTGAAAGATTTTAAAATATATACAGGATCAAATTTTTCTTTAATTTTTTATTTTTCTTCTATATTTAATTTGCTTTTTAACAGCGGTATGACAAGAATTGACTTACGTATGGATCTTACAGACTTCAGTATTGCAGGGTTAAAATCTGCTGTCCTGCTGCCACTTTCAGAGTGCCATTTCTCATGTTGGGTATGAATGATTAGGTTGAAAATTATTCTGACTTGAAATCACTTTTAGCCATTGTTGACTTAGATAACTTGCTTTGATCACAAATAGATGTAGGCCAAAATGACCAAATGGAAATTTCTTCGAAGATACAGCATTTGACTTTACATGGCAAACTTTTGAATACTTAATATACTCAATAAACAGAAACTTAAAAAAAATTTTTTTAAGATTGCCTCCAATTTGGCAGAGGACACCACCGTTTAAATGATGTAGCTCCTCTTCCCACAAAGAGAGGTATCACATTTTTCAAGGTAGTGTGTTTTGTGTTGTGGTCACTGGGAATTTCTCATATCATAAGTATATGAATTGAAACTAATGCCTTAACATATATTATTTGAAAACATATTTTAATATTGTTTACTTGGTAATTATTTAATAGACTTAAATAAGTATTGAACCAAAGCTCAAACATTGCAATATTTATGAAAACAGTACATAGTTGCGTGGCTTATATCAAATGTCTAGAAACTCAGGGAGAATGGAGTATAAATACATACTCACACAAATACATATGGATTTTGGTGACTGAGGTGTGCCAATATGGAAAAAATTAGTAGCAAATTAAGTTCTGGGAAAAAGTCATGTGTTAACCATATGTAAGATTCTGTGCCATTGACTTCAGTGAAAATCAGTGTTCCTATTTATATTAGCCAAATATCCATGAAGACATTTAAGAATATATTCAGTCGCCTAAAGAGAAATGTTAAGTATCCTTTCTCAATATTAACGTTTCCATTAGTAACATATCCTTCTGTTACCTGCACACCCCAAGCCATCCTATATATTCACATTTTAATACTTGTTATTTGTTTCAGGGTGTTGACGATGCCTTCTATACATTAGTTCGAGAAATTCGAAAACATAAAGAAAAGATGAGCAAAGACGGTAAAAAGAAGAAAAAGAAGTCAAAGACAAAGTGTATAATTATGTAAATACAATTTGTACTTTTTTCTTAAGGCATACTTAAGTAAAAGTGGTAATTTTTGTACATTACACTAAATTATTAGCATTTGTTTTAGCATTACCTAATTTTCTTTCTGCTCCATCCATACTGTTAGCTTTTATCTTGAATGCTTATTTTAAAATGACAGTGGAAACTTTTTTCCTCTAAGTGCCAGTATTCCCTGAGTTTTGGTTTTTGAACTAGCAATGCCTGTGAAAAAGAAACTGAACACCTGAGATTTGTCTTGGGGTTTTTGGTGCATGCAATTGATTACTTCCTATTTTTCTTACCAATTGTGAACTTTGGTGTGAAACAAATTACTGAAGCTTTCAAATCATCCCTATTCTATGTTTTATCTAGTCACGTATATGAATTAATTACTAATTATAACTTCAGTTGAGATTTCATGATTGGTTTTACTGAAACATTGAGGGAACACAAATTTAGGGGCTTCCTGTAGATTCATCTTGTTGGTATCGTGTCCTACGGTTTCAGTTACCCTTAATGAATGTAAAGTTATATTGTTCACAAAGGTTTTCTCCTTCTTTCCACTGCTACTTGTCATGGTCACATTCCCCAAAATACTATATTTTTTCTATAAAAAGGGAAAAAATGGAAAAAAAAATACAAGGCAATGGAAAATATTAAAAGGCCATTTACTCTCCACCTTAGATAAATTCCTATAATACTCTGAATAGCTTTCCCTGTTAAGGCAGACCCAGTATGTAATGAGGATTATAACAACCATTTTGGGGCTATATTTACATGCTACTAAATTTTTGTAATTGAAAAAATTTTAATGTGTAAAAAATTCTCATAGGAATTAAATATAGTCTCCCCGTGTCAGAGTGCTCTTTCTTAGCGTAACTTTTAAGTCTTTTCTTGAACTTCAGTCTTTGAAAATGGTTTTAACTCTGGTAGTGATGTTAAAGATTATTTGGGCCAGTTAGCTTAGTAGGTGTTAAAGAGACCGAGGTTGCAAGGCCAGGCCTTGGGTGAACCTTCGAGCTTCACAGTTTCACAGGATGGACTGCATCCCTGTGGTCTTCCAGTGTGGGTCAAAAGTGGGAGCTAGGAGAGAGTTTGGATAGCTCAGCAAGGTACATTCTCGTGTGGTACTCCTACTCAGGAACATCACTTTTATTTAAAAAAAAAAAACCCCAAACAAGACAAACCGTTATTTAAATGAGACTTTAGGGTGGGGTGACAAGATTTTAATTTTTTTAAACAATGAAATGTTTAAAAAGTTTCAAAATCTTGAGTATTGGCTCTGGTTCTCTTAACACTGGCTAAAGTAACATTACATAAACACTTTACAAGTTTGGTCCATATTTAAGAATATCTAATACTTATAAAATAGATAAATTAATGTTAACAAAATGATTCTTTCAGTGCATTTAAAATGTTAACTTATTTTAAAATATTTGAAGTGAGATGGTGTATCGAGGTGAAAATATCACTGGACAAGGAGAAAGGTGAGTTAGATTCCAGTTAGGTGTCTTTCACAACTCCGATTTTGGGCAGATCACTTACTGTCCATTTTTTCATGTTAAAAGAAGTCATCTCAGAGGCTGTATCTAGCATTACAACTATGCGATTTACATTCAGTTTACATAAGGGTGTACCTATTTGTCAGTCTCAGCACGGTCTGTAACTTTTTACCTATGTTATCATCTTCAGTACCAGTCTTAGGCAAAATTGTGCAAGAGGTGAAGCTTATTTTTGAATATCCATTCTCCAGTTTCAGGACTTCTCCCATATTAGTGTCATCTTGCCTGCCTACCCTTCCACATGCCCCATGACTTGATGCTTTTTCTTTTAATACTTCTGAGTCCCCTGACTTCAAGATTTATTGCTGCTTTGGGTGTCTTCATGAAGGCTTCCCATCAAGTCGTATCAGAATGCCCTGCATCTTATTTCTGCAGGCTCAACATAATCTGACAGATACCACAGTGGAATTTGACGTAATCGCTAATTTTCAGATGGTGGCTGTAGCAATTGAATCTTGATCCTTTGAACATCATCTCTTTGCTGCCTGGCCCATCAGTGACTAAGTAGGCATTTTCATACTTGCTTGGAGTAGACAGAACCCTATCCAGTGGAAGGAGAATTTAATGAAGGTAGTGCTCAAAGAATTCCTTACACCATCTGCAACTAGGACTAGCCCTGGTAATAGTGATACATTCCATTGTTTTAAAAACTAAAATCTTACAATGAATCAGATACTTTAAAATTTAATTCATACAGCTTACTTTTTAGCAGAACTCATTTATTCAGCAAATATTTACGTGCCTACTAGATGCCAGGCTCTGCACAAGGCACTGGGGATATTACAGTGTCTCCACACAAGGGACATAATCCTTCAGTAGTGCTTATATTCTAGAGGGGTCTCTTGGTGAGGCCCTTGGCACATGACCCAAGAGAACATAATGCATAGTGTAGTTCTGCAAAGAAAGGATTGGTCTCAAAGGTTTCTTTCAGTTCTGAAATAACTGTTTTGCTCTGATTCCAAACTTCAATCAAGCAACTTTTTAAAATTAAGTCTATCAGTTTACTTCATTGTTTTGAAGGAGTAAATGTGATTATATTGTTTATTTGGCATAAGTATGTGATTCTATTGGGGCAGTTATAGAACAAATTAAGTTGTATGTCAGATAGTATTAAAATTCCCATGTGTGTAATATTCTAGTTGGTCTCTTTGTCTAAGTAATTAAAACAGACTTTAAAAATTAAATATTGAATTCTAAACTAGTGGTGTGTATCTGGGTGCAAATAAACAGATGCCTGAACTAATTCACAGAAAAGGAAACTAATGTGTAAAAATCAGCGTGATTTCTGAAATACTACACTAAACTACAGGTTAATGGATCATTATCTAGGTAGGGTGTTAAGACCTAATATAGTACCTCCTCTTGTTTCTACACAAGAGAAAGAAATGGCCATATTTCAGGAATTGTAGTGCATAATAGCTGAGGGGATTTTTAGGACTCTTGAACATTTGATGTAGCTGGGCAATTTTTTTTTTACGGCAGTGGTAATTATTCTTTATTATGTGAATTTTGAATGGTCTAACAAAAGGTTTGTTTTTGTAGAGATTTTAAAAGGGGAGAGAGAATCCTAGAAATAACATGTTACCTAATTATTACAGCCTTAAAGATAAAAATCCTTGTTGAAGTTGGAAAAAAAATCGCTAAATTACATAGTTTTAGACATTAACATGTTTGTGGAAAAATGTAGCAGAAGTGTGTAGTATAATTTGAGTGAATATTCCCAATTAGGAATTCTAGGCTCTATTTTAACTGAGTCACACTGCATATACGGATTAGAACCTAACTTTGTAGGTTATCAGAATCTTTGCCACCATTGCACAATTTTGTCCTAAAATATATAGAACCTTTGTGAGGCATGTTAAGTTGCAGTTTGCACAAGTTCATCTCATTTGTATTCCAGTGACTTTTTTTTTCTTCTAACCATGTTCTTCTAAACAATGTATACACATTTAGGTTTTTTGGTAGGCAATAAAAACTGTCATTTCCATTTATCAAACAGAAAAAACTTCTTGATGATTATGTATTAAATGATTTTTAACTACCCATTAGTTACTTTAAGCTGAATAACTTTGGTGTTAATATTGGGTAGCATGAAATCTGCATTGAGAAACTGAACAGCATACAACTGATAGCTGTAAATTCCTTCAGAAAATGAAATTTCTTTCATTCTAAAGATATATTCAGATGAGTTCTTGAAGAATAGTCATAACTAGACTAATACTTGTTTTAGTTTAATAGTTTTAAGTGCCTGTTTGGGATGATAATAGGCAATTTTAGATGACTTTAGGGAAAACAGAGTTATTACCTGCAGAAATGTCAATTACAGAAGGTCCCCTTCTCTATAGAGCTCAAATGGGTTATGTAATGTTTTATCCACAAGTTTCCAATTCCACTGTCTTGTGTTTTCATGTTGAAAATACTTTTGCATTTTTCCTTTGAGTGCCAATTTCTTACTAGTACTATTTCTTAATGTAACATGTTTACCTGGAATGTATTTTAACTATTTTTGTATAGTGTAAACTGAAACATGCACATTTTGTACATTGTGCTTTTCTTCGTGGGACATCTGCAGTGTGATCCAGTTGTTTTCCATCGTTTGGTTGCGCTGACCTAGGAATGTTGGTCATATCAAACATTAAATTTAAAAATGACCACTCTTTTAATTAAAATTAACTTTTAAATGTTTATAGGAGTATGTGCTGTGAAGTGATCTGAAATTTGTAATATTTTTGTCATGAACTGTACTGCTCCTAATTATTGTAATGTAATAAAAATAGTTATGGTGACTATGATAGTGTGTATTTCCTGATGGAAATTTGAAACATTTGCCCTGCAGTTGACACGGGATAGTTTATAAGCCACAGACTCTACAGTGTATTAGTAAATCTTTTTTGCAACTCGTAAGTTAGTTAGATATATTTTTTGTATATGAAAGGTGCTGTGAACATTATGTAAAGGCTTGAAATCTTGTTAGGTTTAGGCCCTTTGCCACGTTAACTCATGTAGATGTGGATGCAAAAGAAATCTGCCTTTATGACAAAAAGAACAGTATAACATTATTTATTTTTATTAAAGAAGGTAATTGATACACCTTGTTTTAAGGCCCAGAGGGAGCCAGTAGCAAAATTAATAATGGAAATAATTAAATAGGTATATACATAATGCCAACTGCTGGCAGGCTATTTTGAGTCCAGAAGTGATCTTACTCTATACATATTATTTTAACTGCACTGAAATCATTACCAGATGCCATTTCTTTTCCAGTGAACCTTGAATACGTGCTATTAATGTACCAAATGGGGTTCAGAATGAGGAACTCCCTCAAAAGTTGAAAGGAATAAATTTGTGAGAAATCATTTTGCTTTACTTAAATGTGCATTAAATGGCATTCTCTTTTCAGTAAAGTGAAGGGGTAAGAATAACTGGCAAAATTTTATTAACTAAAAATTAAGTACATTGTATTGTCATTCAAAATTGGATACTCATCAATTTTTAACTGGTAGTCGGCAACATACGGCTAAATTGCTATTTTAGTATGAAAACTGAGCATAAAGGCTACTGATAAAGCTCTCATTATGTATAGAAGTTGAAACCTATTTTAGTTCAATAAGGCAACTCAGGTATTTTTTACACAGTGTATATCTTGACATTTTAAGTAAGAATTATTTCTGTAGTATCTGGGATATATGAACAGCTGGCACTGGTTTTCTGTCAAATTAGAGTCATAGGGATCAGTTAGTATCTGAATAATAGCGTTGTTTCATAGCTCTGTATTTCCTAAGGAAGTATAATGCTTCTAGTTCTTTCATTACAAATTTGCCCCGTCCAATAAGTTCTCTGATCTTCTCTGGGTCCTTCACATCTTTGTTTTTAAGGAAAACATTCTTCAGACGCCTTTTAAAATAGTCTGCTCCTTTTGGATAGTCTCGTCCAAGATACAGCAGCTTAAAAAAGAAAGATTACATATTTCTAAACAGTCTATGTCATACAACATTTATAAAATTGGCAACACAATTACTTACATTTTTATAAAGATTCAGTACTTCTCCTCTTAAAGAATTAGCCATTTTGATTTATCATGGAAAGCATCCACTTTTATATATAATATATATACCTAAAGAAAAAGAAATGTTTTTACAAATAACTGCATTGTATTCTTAAAGAATCAAAGAAAAAAGATTTTACACATGGGGAAATGGTACCTTTTTCTTTCTCATCCAGTAAATATTACTGAGCACTTTGACATTCCAGGCACTGAGGTGTAGCCATGAACATGTCAGGTAAGATACCTGTTCTCACAGAATTATGTCCGAATTAATGCCCGTATGCTTCCCCTATTTACTAATAATGTGAACTAATTCAAGTAACTAGCATACAATGTAGCAGAACAACTTTTTTCTGAGTTCATTAGTATCAGCTTTCATGCAATTTTCTGTTGTTTTCCTCCAAATTGCTGTTTTTCTGCTTTTATATCACTTCTAAGCTTTCCTCTAGAAAAGGTAATACTTTTCTGTCCATTCTTATAAGTGAAAGGACAAAAAAGTTTTTTAAAAGATCTGTATACATGGTTGCAGCTTAGAGACGGAGCTTCATTGAGGGTGATGTGAGTCGGCCCTTTGCGGGAGAACCTCTGATGTCAGTATCTTAGGCCAATCCTTCTGGGCTGGTCAGATTCGTCAGAGAAGTCTTCCAAACTTCTGAGGATTTGCTAATTCAACGTTAAGAAGTGGAAGAGGAATCAGGGTTTGCATACAACACTGTACACCCAAATTCACCTAATCTTCCAGCATGGTTCTCATGTACTGGGTATGCCTGCAACCCACTCCAGAGACTAGTGTTTTGTCCAGAAATAAACCTCCAGTCTTCTGGGAGCGAGGGGTGCAGTCACTTAGAGGTGGTTCTCAAACAGCTTTCACGTAATCCTCGCTACCTCATTCTTCATTTCCAATTCCAGTGGCCCTGACCCCAGTAACTTTGAGAATTATGCAGTATAAATTGGCTTTTCTAGTGTGCTAGGTCACATCTGTTTTGCAGCTTCCAAGGTTTTATTGTCATCTCTTTCCATTTTTCTAATTTATTTTTATATTTCTTTACTGAAAATTCAGTGGAGTTGTGGAAGGGAGTGAAATTAGATGGGTGTATTTAACCGGCTACATCAACACCTAATTTCATTTTTAAAACTTTTTGGGGTGGGGGGCTGAAAGCCATTTTTTGTGTGGTTTAATTTTACTGAAGAATGATTCTTAAAAGCCTTGTGCTTTTAAAATAATTAAGTTAAATCTACATTATAGCTTGTTTGGTTCCTGGGAAAGAGCATAGCTCTGTTTAATTCACAATTTGTAATTTGTGAAAGCTTTTAGAGATGTGGCTTAAATTGTCCTTTAGCTGTTGCCCTTTCACAAATTATGCACAATAAAGGACCTGCCCAGCAAAATAAAAGTAGCTGTTGTGACTGAGGTAAATCTGTCTCATTCTTTGATATGTTAATATATATGAATTTTAAAAGTTTATATTATATTGCATGCCGACCTTCAGGCGTTTATTTTAGCCTTCAGGAGAAATAGGTTTTCCTAGGTTCACAACTGGTGAACAACTTCAATGCAGCAGGGAACTGGGCTTGCTCCTTAACGCTGCATAAAGTCGTGGAGATTACTGTTCTTTGTAAAGAGCCAAAAGAGTTAGGGACTGGGAGAAGTCCCCATCATTCTGAGATCTTGGATGGGGGCAGGCATACAGTTCACATCCATAACTTTCCCAGTGACTTGTGGGCTAAGGATTTAAGCCCTATTCAACTCCACTTCTGGGTTAAGTGAGAACTGTCATTTCACTAGAGTTTTGGTGCCCAAAGCCCTGGTTAATCACTCTTCCCCATGAAGTTCAGACTTGATTCAAACAGAATGAAGTCCGTTTCTCCAAAGTAGTTGAGTCTAAAAAGCTTCACACAAAAATCTATCCCCAAACACTTGCCAGCACCAAAGGGCATGTAATCCGAGAGGTGGGTGGCAAGAGACTTTGTCCCCCAACGCTGGTACACTGCTTGGTCTAGGCCTACCCGGAAGCCAGATTATACAAGAGAGCTGAAAGGAGATGGTTACATATGGCAGGGGTAGGTAGTGCACCTGTCTGCAAGTAGAAAAGAGAAGAGGAAATAGGCTTCTTAATGCAGCTTGTAAGAGGGGTACTAGGGGACAACCAGGCTCACTGGGATAATCTCATAGCAGCGATCCCCTAGAACACAGCCCAGCCTGTTCTCACACATCCATAGCAAATCCTCCTCCCTGGGGGTAAGTTGGAATGAGAACTTGAGCAAGTCTCTCCCCTAGAGGCCCACCATTTTAGGTAATTTGTGATTACCATAACACCTCCTTATCCCCATCAGACTTGACTGAGGTTTTGTATCATATACATTGTAGTTTGGCTGAAAAACTAACTTAAAACAAAAGCTTAGTTCCTTACCAAACAGCTTCAGAACTCTATATGAAGTCGACCTTAAGATGTTTTTATTTTGCTGCCAGAGATCTGGAGATGAGATGTCATAGCTACTACACAATCTGGATTTCTGGGGAGAGAGTAACACTTTAACCTACAAAGACCAGCTCAGTCGGCAATGTTCATTTACTAATACTACATTTAGTCAACGAAATGGGAAGGCATAGCACACTATAAAACTAGAAGTCAGACATGAGAAATGGTGCCAGTTATTTTAAAGTATTTCTTGACAGAGTTTAGGTCTAAACCCATGGAGAACTCAGACAGGCTTTGGAAGGAGCTTAATTTCTTAATCACTTAATTTTTTCCAGTTTCCCTGCTGGTTTAAGTTGCTAGAGTTTCTTCATGTGGGTAGACTGACATTCTTGTGCTATCGGTTGGTACAATGAAAATGTGACCTTGACCTTGGGCACATAACTTTAGCAAGTCTTTCTGGGGCTCAGAAACCTTCACACCTGTAGGTATAATTTACCCAGGAATTGCCTCCAACCATTACCACTCCTTGTTTAGAGCTCCTAGGAAAAAAAAAAAAAAAAACGGCATACACCTTGCCCAGGCAGTAAACAGAACCATGTCCAGGGAGAAGAATCCGAAAGTCAGTTTCAAAATAACCAGCCCTCTGGAAGCCAACTTATTTACCTCTTTATCTAAACCGCCAGCCGAGCCCCGCCCCCGCTGGCCTGAGCTGCTGAGGCCCAGGCCGCCGGCCCGGTATCCGTCACCTGACCCAGCCCTGTGGCCGGCGGCCCCCTTCTCGAAACCCGCACAGGCTTCGCCCCAACCACTCTAGGGAAATAGGAAGACGGACTGTCAACGTTGCAGGACGCTTACAAATCCTTTCCCACACCCGGTGGTCCTCGCCCAGAGCAAACTTCACCGCCTTCGCACCCCAGGACCCGGAAAACGGAATAAAACGGCCGGGAGCTGCACTCACGCACTTTCCGGCACGCCACAGCCGTAAAATCCTCCGGCCGCTCCGACTCCTCGGTGCGTCCGCCGCTGGGCGGGGCGGCCGTGGGGGTGGGGCAACCTGTTAGGGGAAAGGGGCGGGGCGCCGTCCGGAAGAACCCCAGCGCGACTGCGCGGACCCAGATGGGTGGATCCGCGCGCGTTTCCTGGGGCGCCAGTGGGCGGAGCTTGTCGTCCTGACAACCCGGGAGCGTTTTTCCACACACCCCTGAGCTCCGACTCGGCCTTCTGCGGAGGTAGTGCTTACCTCGGCATGGTGAGCGGGGAAAGTGGGGGAGCCGGGTGAAGGGGCGAGCATCGGTTCTCCTGCACTGTGTTAAATGATGTAGTAAGAGCCTATCATGCTTCGTTAGAGGGAAGAGAGTCGGTTTAAGAAAGAGCCTTCCCCTGATCTGTGGCCTTCCCTCCGGTATCCGGCGGGCAGGTGGGAGTCCAAACCAGTTTCTGCAAATGGGGAATGGCCAGTGCGGTCAGATGGTGACTTAATCTCGAACTACTGCTAAATTTAAAAATCGGTTTCAATCTAGTAACTTCCAGTGGTAATAGACGTTCCCATGAAATTGCTTTCTTACTGCAACTTGGATGAAATGTGATTTTGGTTTTGCCTCCTCAGCAATTAATGCAAAGCTGTTGCAGTTTACTCTGCTTTAAAAAATTATGTTATGTGGTCTTTTGTGAAAATTTGAATTGTTTTGTGATCCAGGGTACTCAGCCTGTCCTGTATTTATATTAAGTATGATAAAGCTTCCCGTGTTGTTTTTCTGGGTGCCTCAGCGATCCTGTCTTCTCCAAGAACACAGGCCAACATGTAGCTATGAGGCGATCCCGTTTCCCATTTTCTTAAACGTGATTTCCATCGTCGTCTATGATTAAAACTAGAGGAAGCGGACAATGTAATTAGTTAACTATTTTATTCATTAATTAAGGGAAATGAAGGGTGTGTTCTTTGTGCTTGACACTAGGCTGAAGCCACGGACAAAGGTGAATATTACATCCCCTCCCTGGTATGGAAGATAGACTTAGCAAGTTAATTACAATACGGCTCTATAACTGTAATAATTGAAGTGACTACTGTGGAGTAACACAAAGTTGGAAATGTTGAAATTGGGGAGGAAGAGGAGAGGAGGACAGGAAGGAAAGAGCAGTGCTTTCTATCTGTGTTTTAAAGTATGATTATGAGTTTACAGAGGTTATGAGAAGAAATAGGGCGTGGAGAGCGTTCGTGTCAGAGAGAACAGAAAGTAAATGGATTTTAAGCGGACATAAAACTGCTGATAACTTGAGGAAACACTAAGCATCTGTATTATTTTCCAGTGGGTACGTAAGTCTCTTCTTAGATACCTGTAGCAGTGTTTCTCAAAATGTGGTTTCTGGAAAACTTGCTTCTAATACACCTGAAATAACCTGTTAAAATGCAGATTCTGGGAACAGACTGGACTCCAGGTCTGCTGTATTAGTTTCCCAGTGCCGCCAAGTAACCAAGTACCACACACTAACTGGCTTAAACCATAGAAATGTATGGTTTCACAGTTCTGGAGTTTAGAAGTCCAAGATCAAGGTGTTGTCAGGGCTGTACTCCCTCTGCAGGTGCTAGGAAGGGATCTGTTCAGACCCCTCTCCTCGTGTCTGGTACTTCTTAGCTTGTGGCAGTATTGTTCCATTCTTCACTGGCCGTGTGTGTGTGTGTGTGTGTGTGTGTGTGTGTGCGCGCGCGCGCGTGCGCGCGCGTATCTGTGTCCAGATTTCCCCTTTTTATGAGGACACGAGTCATATTAAATTAGAGGCCCACCCTGTTCCAGTATGACCTCATCTGAATCTAACTAATTAATCAGCAATGACCCTCTTTCCAAATAAAGTAAAATTCAGAGATACTGGGAGATAGGACTTCAATGTATGAATTTTGAGGGGACACATTTCAACCCATAACGTGAACTGAATTACAGCAGGGAGGGGTAAGTGAGCGTGTACACTTTTAGGTCAGGAATATGCATTTGTAACAGGCAACCAGGTGATTCTTATGCCCTTTGAACTTTTTGAGAACTACTCTACTACATGATACTCTTATGATTTGCAGGAGGGGTGAAGATACGTATTTATTCCAAACCTGCTTCACATTAAGAGCTTTAGCGAGAGATGGCAATTCGCCCGTCTTTAAAATGTGGCTACCTGGGAACAGAGGCAATGCTATTTACATATTCTGCTGTGTAGTACTTATTTCGAGATGGAAGTATGTTAACTTAATTGATAGCAGATATGATAATAAAACTAGAGCCTATTTGTAAAAATTATGTCTCCATATTTCTTATTTATATCATCTCCAGCTTCTGAGTGCTTTGTGTGTAAATCATTAGTAAATATTGCTGAATGAATTAGTGACATGAATGCAGTTTTCAAGAAGATAAAATCTACTGCTTTGTGTCAGTTTTAACATTTATATTTTATATGGTGATAATGTTGTGACTTAAACAAGTAACTTATACAAGTCTTCAAATGTGGCAAGTGTGTAATATTATAGTCACATGATCTACAAATTCCTCACCAGAGATATAATGGACACATGGGCCAAATCAGGAAATTACAAGTAGTGTTACTGAAAAATACTTGTAATTGTAAATATTCATGGAAATGCTGTACTTCCCAAAATATTTTCCAAAAAAGCATAGATGTGTTTTAAGACACATTGCTGAACGGAATCATTTTGTCATACCTTTGCTTTAAATCACTGATTCCCTTTCTATAAAATTGGCAATCTAATTTTACAGAAAGATTGTTTCTTTATAATATAAGATGATTCCCACACTTTCAAACTTGACATTAATACCGTACTTGGAACTTCAGAACCCTTTACACCAGTGCCTTCTTGAATGGTACTATGATTTGTGATGAGCCACTTCATTAAACATGGATCACTGACTGATTGTCATAAGAGTGTAAAATTTGCTTACAAAAGATGCTCCAGTGAGTGAATTAGCTTTGCTTTTCCTAGACTTGCTTATAGTTTTCTCTGAATTCTTTTTTTAAAAACTTTTTATTTTGAGATAATTTTAGATTTACTGAAAAGTTGCAGAGAGGGTACAGAGAGTTCCCTAATAGTCTTTGCTCAGCTTCTCCTAATCTTACCATCTTAGGTAATCACCATACTTTTGTTTAAAATGTATGAATTATTTTTCAAATTTACCAGTTCTTTTGTTTTTCCAACTTTTAGGGTCCCAAAGTGAAAAAGGTAGGTAGAAATTATTTTCTCAAAATAGTTTTATAAGCATTGACATTGTACAAACAATTTTTAAACATTTTCTGGTAGTTTTATTATAGTTTATAGAATTTACTAAGCTTAGTTTTTAGACATTAATGCTATTTAAATCATGGTATAATCCTTTATAAAAATAGGACATATTTCAAATTTGACTTAAAAAGATAATGCTGATTTCACAAAGACTTTTTAAAATAGACTTTAATTTCTACTTGTGTCCAGATTTGAGGTTTTCAATTACTTGTGCTCGAGAAAATGTTGGATTAGGAACCCCTTTTCTTCATTTCAGATATATACACAAAAATTTAATGAAATTTTTTTGTACTTTGTCAAAATTTGAGTGCATTAAGGGATGTCTAGAATACCTTTTTCTCTCTTCTTCCCTTAGCAGATTTATGCTTTAAAGCAGAGGTTATAATCTCTTGACTGGCAAACCAGATTTACCTACAGACATATCTCCTTTGATCTAAAAGTTTTATTTTAATCAACTGCCAAACTATTTTCATGCAAAAATGTGATCTCCACCTATTCTTGAAAAATTGGAAACCTGGTAACATTGGGCCTACAGTCTTACAAGGCAACAGTTGGCTAGACTGAGTAGCAGCTAGCCCTTTTGGAATTACATAAACTCTTCTGTTTGCTGTAGTCCAGACCATGACCAAATCCCTTGCTTTATTTACCTGCCTGGTCCCAACAGGGATTTAGGTTTGGAATGCTGGCTTTAAGGCATATTTGAAAGGTCACAACTGTTAATTTTCCCCTGTGGAACCAATCATACTCTCTATGTTCATAGCACGTGCATTTGAACATACCTCAATTAAAACTCGTGTCATTTTATTACAATAATTTATAATTGTGAGCTGTTCAAGGTCAAGAGCATATCACATTTATTTCTGTGTCTGTAGCATTTAGCACAATGCCTGGCATGTAGTAGAAATCCAGTCAATATTTGTTAAATGAGTATGTGAAGCCCCATTTACCCTACCCCTACTTAAAAAAACACTTGGGTCCTTGACTGTTTAGGAGAAATGCTTATATAAATGTGTATTAAATATTTATACAATTAAACATTTCTTCCAAAAATACTGTTGTTTGCTTTTCTCAGTCACTTTAACCCACTACCAACCTGATACTGTTTTAGGGGCTCTGGCCATAACAGAACAAAGTTTACGTGGGCTCGGGCCCCATTCTTATGGGGGAAGTATTCTGGAGAACTCCAGTCATTTGTATCTGGGTCTCCAATAGTTTATTAGTTTGTGTGGACGTTCATTTTTGGCTTTAGATTGTGAAATCTTAGAGGCATTGTTTTAAATCTGAAAACTCATTGTTCCAATGACTTTGGTACTTAATCATGTATGTACAGATGTTAAATAAACACTTGGATTATTTTCTTCATAGTGTTGTTTCTCTTAGAGAATGGTTAGATTCATCTGAAATCTGAATTTGAACAAAGGTGGAAATTACTCACTTTTTAATTATTTCCATTCTTAAAGATTATGGCTTGGGCATGAGGGGAGTCTGTGAAAGGAATTTACAGTATGGTTAGGAAAACATTGAAAGATATATTTTATTCTTTGATTTCTTAGGTTTTTTTTTAAGGGAAAAAGTAATAAACACACATGGTACAAAATTAAAATAGCCCCAAAATGTAAATGTTCCTCCTATCCAAGACTAAAAGAACTACTGAGTATCTTTTCATACATTTTCTAAGCACTAAAAAGCACACACACACACACATCCCCCTTTTCTCCCCGCATATGGGAGCATCCTGTACCTCCTATTTTTCACTTGATGATATTGTATTTTATTAATTCCAGGATACTCATCTTTTTACATTTTAACATGACTGAAATTGAGATATGCCTCATGGGCGATAATAACTTACAATCATTGTAGTACTGAGTTGACGTCTGTTTCTTCCAGAGAGGATGTTTGCTTCTGTCAGTCACGTGGGCTTACCACCAACCTGATACTACTTTAAATTCTCTTCTAGAGAGTTTTTGGACTGCACTGGTATGAGTCAGACTGCAAATCTCCATGAACTAGCTTGTGCTTTAAATTTTCAGGGAATTCTTTTCCTTCTTTATGTTCATTTTCAGGATTGAGATTTGCAAGTTGCCCTGCTGTATCTTTCTGTTCCTTTGTTTTTACCTAATATCCATGTATATACAGGCATCTCCTTTAAGATTCCCATCTTGGGCATTTTCTTTTTTGCTGTGATTTAAAGGTACATCTTACATCTGATGGCATCATCGATTCTATGCAGTAAATATGTCTTGGGGACCTTTTTTTGTTTCAGCACATTGAGATTACATCCCTTTTCATAGCTGTATCACATTCTATTGAGAGTATGTCTGTGATTTTTTTATATTGTCCCTGTTTTTTTGCTACCACAAACAAGGTAGAAATGAAGAGCCTTGTGCACAAGGCCTTGCAAACATATGGAAAAATGGTTTTATTGATTTAGCAGTGTTGTAGGCAGAGTACAGCAGCAAGACAGTCTGTGCCCTCATGAAAATTACTTTCCCGGCTTTATTAACATATAATTGACATATAACATTGTCTAAATTTTAAAGCACACAGTGTGATGATTTGACACACATATGTATTATGAAATTATTACCTAAATAAGGTTGGTTAACACATCCATCACCTCACATAATTACCACTTTATGTGTGTGTGTGTATTGAGAACATTGAAGATTTACTGTCTTAGGGGGAATTAGGTTTCTTTCTTTCTTTATTTATAGTGGAGGTACCTGGGAGTGGGGAGGGTATAGCTCAGTGGTAGAGTGTGTGCTTAGCATGCATAAGGTCCTGGGTTCAATCCCCAGTACCTCCATTAAGAAAATAAAACTAATTACCCACCCCCCCAAAAAATGAATGAATCTTGCAAATCATTATTTGTTACCTAAAGAAGTAAATCACACAAAAGGAAAAATATATTATTCTACTTGTATGAAATACCTAGAGTAGTCGAACTCAAAGGCAGAAAGTAGGATGGTGATTGTTAGGGGCTGGGGTTGGAGGGGCAGGAGGGGAGTTAATGTTTAATGGAATCAGAGTTTGTCTGGAATGATAAAAAAGTTCAGAGATGGGTGATGGTGATGGTTGTACAACAGTGTGAATGTACTCAGTGCCATTAACTTGCACATTTGAAAAATGATTAAAATGGTAAATTTTTGTAATGTGTACTTTATGACAGCGAGGAAAGAAGTAAATTACAGTCGTATACATAAAGTATAATTGGATTTATGTAAAATTCAAAAGTAAGAAAACTACATTGTTTAGACATACATACATATGTAATACACCTTTAAAGAAAAACAAGAAAATTATCACAAATATCAGTAATTATCTCTAGGTGTAACTTTTTTTTTTGGTAAATCAGTATAACTTTTGGCATATGTTGTGGAAAGGATTCAAAGAACTGCATGATATAGCTGGAACCTAGTCCCATTGGCTTTTTTATATAAACCAGATTTCTCACTTCTTATGTTTGTACAAATTAAAATAGAATCTGTCTGAATTCTTGTTTCATTCAGCAATAGCCAACATTTATCCATGGATCATGAACTAACCAGCAAAAAGAAAAAAACCCAACCATCTCATCAAGAGATGTATATCTAGTAAATTTTCACTTTTTGTATTTTAATATTTACTCACCAACATTTGTGATATAAAATGTTGCTTTATTAAATTGTACACTGAATATAGTAATAAAATTAATGCAATCCAGAGCAAAATTTGTATTGCTTAGAAACTTAGAGACAAGGAAATTTAAATTTTCATACATATTTTGACAACATAAATACGATAGGAAGATCAACAAAATTTTTCAGATGTATTACATTAGGATAAAACTTGGTGGGGGAAGTGGAATGGAAATATGAATTCAAAGAGAAAAGGATTAAAATTTTTATTAAATGTTCATATTTCTTGAATTAACATTAGGTATTAAATCACTGTAGTATGTGGATCCATCAGATATAATTTAAATAGTGATGGATATATTTTATTTAGTTAGTTTTTTTTGTGATGTATGTATTTTAAATAGTGGTGGATATATTTAAAAGAGTGATGTAAAATTTTCTTGTGCATACCATATACTAGAAAGTAAAACATTTGCAGCTATTTAAACTTGTGATAAAGAAGTTTTCAATGCCAACTTAAAAATGTGTGAAGCTTTTCAAAATTCTTTTAGGGAATCTATGAACAAATAATTTTAGAAGTTACTGATCAACTATCAGCTGAGGAGGAGAAGCCAGACAAGAAGTCTAAGAAGGAGGGACTTGCAAGAGAAGAAACAGAATCAGACAGTGCCAACCTAAAGCCTAATGAAGGAAATATTTCAAGGGAAAGGAAGAAAACGTTGTCAAATGATGATGACAGAGGAGTAAAATGAGGGCTGAAAATTGGCCATTGTCATTGGAAACGTGGCCATCTTAAGGTTCCATGACAAGTGAGGTTTTAATGGAGCAACAGAAATGGAAGCCTGATTGGAATGGGGCATGCAGAAAATGGGGAAGTGGAAGCAGTAGGCAACTCCTTTTAGGTGGTCTGATACTAAGGTTACCAACGTTGGAGCAGAAGGTGGAGAGGGATGTGAAATCTAGGTAGGCAGAAATCTATGAATAATTAGAGGTGTTAGTTACAGGAGCCAAGCCTTAACTAGACAGTGAGGAATAGGATCTACTGTAAAAGTGACAGACGCAGCCTCAGAGAGCCGAAGTTCATCTACTATACCAAGAGGGAAGGCAGACAAAAATAGAGGTAGGTTCAAAGATTTGATGTGTACAGGAGAGTATCCTCTTAACATTTCTAGTGATGTAAGAGGTGAGGTCAACAGCTGAGTAGGAAAGAGGAAAGGATTTTGGAAGGTTGAAGAGTGAGGAGAATGGAATAGTGGTAGGAATACAGGATGGTGCTTAGAGCCTGTTTAAAATTTGTGGTCACGAATCTGAGCTCGAGTATTTTTCTCTGGCAACGTCCAGCTGCTCATACTAAATAAACGGAGAGTTGGCTTTAACTCGAACTAGTTTACCAGCTAAGCTCCTCAGAGGGAGGGGAAGACAGGTCAGGTGGAGATATATAAGTTAGTGATTGTGGTGATGAATTGTGAAATCTAACCGGGGTAAGAAAGAAGTTGGGGCGGGGGTGATGAATGGTGAGAAAGTGATAGGGGTAATAAATTGGAGATTCCAAAGGAGCATCCTGCAGTAGGTGAGCCGAAAAGCGAAGATAGGCATCCAAGAGTCTGTATATCCCAAGGATTAACCACTCTGTTGATTCCAAATTTAGATGGTGTGCTTCTGTTTCTACACTCTCACTTAGGGAAAATGGAAGGGAGGTGGTTGTCACCAAGATAGTTCTCGAGTCTGTATGCTGTAGTCCTGATCTCTGCTACACCTCAATTCTCCAATTTCAAAGCCTGCAAGCATTGTCTGGCTCCTCCACCAGCACTTCATACTAACAATATTTAAATTTCTTTAAACAGTTTCTCTTGCAAATTTGCATCTTCCTGACTACTATTCTTTTTTGATCCTTCTCTGACTCCTTCCTCTCCTTGCCTTCAGTTTTAATCATTATCCAGTAAGTTAGCGTATAAAGCATTTGTTGCATCCAGTATCCTATCTGCGTTTCCATTGTCAGGACTTTATTAACTATTGTTAATAGTCACCAAAATGGTATCATCTTCATAATCACGTTTTCCCTAATACCAGGTTAGTTTTCACAATGACATTCTTAATAGCCACAGCCCTTTTCGAAAACTTTTAGAGGGTTTACAATTCTTTTAGAATAATGTCCACACTCTATAGCATAGGCTCTAGCCTTCTTTTCCATTCCATTTCCATCATTACCTCTCTCTGGAGCCTTCCCAGGGCCTGTCCAGTGCTCTCCAACTCCGTATTTTATGCCTGCATGTCCCTCTTCTTTGGATATCTTCCCCTCATATCTGAGTGTTAAAATCTTTGGGGCACAAACTTAAATTCTAGCTGCTCTATAAAAATTTTACTTGATCCCAGCTGCCAAAAATAATCTCCCCTTCCTCTAAACTTGCAAAATAACTCTCTTTATATCTGTTAGTCATTAAAATATCTCTAATTTTTATAGACATGTAGCAGTGTTAAGTACATTTTTACACGTATTTTATTTTAATCCTTACAAAAGTGAAACGAAGTTTTATTCAGCACCATTTTAAAGATGTGAAAACTGGGAATGAGAGAATTACATTGTATATACTTGTCACTGTCACTCTTGCCTTTGAATAATTTATACGTGCATTTTTCTTGTTTCCCTACTTTGTCCCTCGAGGCTTTGCACTTAATAGGCAGTCTTATTTGAATGAGTACAAGACTGGGTTCATGGAAACAAAAGTGTTTTTCCATAATTACTATTTGAGGGATATGTGTTTTAAAGTAATTTGGGTACATGCTAATAGCTTTTTTAAAAGTTGTGGCCTTTGTTAAGTCTGGCAGTAAGAAAAAGAAAATCACCAAAGCTGAACGATTGAAGCAGCTACAAGAGGAGGAGGAGAAACGACAAAAAGAGGAAGGTATGAAGCACAGATGATACTGTTTTCAAACTCAGAAGGTTGGTGTTTCTGTAATCCAGTCAATACTTTTTACAAACAGTTTTCAGAATTTTTAGTTTTTTTAAATTTAATGTTTCACATTAGCTATTTACTATTTAAAGGGTACCCAGAAAGTTCTGTTAGTACACACCAATCACTCTCTGATATATCTTGAAGTAGAGTTGCCAGATGTAATACAAGATGTCCAGTTAAATTGGAATTTCAGATAAACAATGGATAATTTGGGATAATTTGTCCCATGTAATATTTGGGGCATGCTTAAACCAAAAAAAGAGTCCATTGTTTATCTGAAATTCAAATTCAACTGAGTATCCTGTATTTTTATTGGCAAAATATAGCAACCGTATTTTTTTAAATTTTTTATTGAAGTGAAGTTGATTCATAGTGCTGTGTTAGGCAACTTTATCTTAAAAGTGTTTATATTCACTGATTAAATTAGAGGCATTGGTGCTGATTGTGCAGTAAGAATTCTGAAACTCAAATTAAATATGGGAAATATACTCTAGCGAGAAACACACAGAACAGCCTAAGATCTTATAGATTAATAATATTTATTTGCCAATTTAAAGAGGACTTTCATTTGTTAAAGAATGTCAAATATAAATTAATAAAAGTATTGATTCTTTAAAATGCCAAAAAGCGATTTTAAAAATCCGAATAGCTCCAGTGGTTGTAGCTTTTAGCATGAAGAACATCCGTTGATTCAGATTCAGGCTGTAAAAGTCTATAGCCTCAGGTTTCCATGCTGATTTTTTTAGGTATAATCATGTAAGTCCTTTTTAGGTGACTCATGATAAGAATTCAGTATCAGAATCCTACATCTTGGGAAAGTTTTACTATATTGAGCTAAACCCATATTCTTCAACATGTATTTCATTTGTTGTTTCTTAGTAGTTGAAAGTAAGAGAAAATTAAGGTAATTCCGATGATGCAGATGTCACAAGATTATGGAAATCTTCTGAAGATGTTCTCTCTTCTTAATTACCCATGATAGAGCTGTGATTTTTCACTGATTAAAATCATTATTGGATTGCTATAAACTTTTTGGAGACGAGAAATATCATTGTGGGCCAGAAAGTTTGAGAGTCGTGTTAATTTTTTGAAAGAAATCTAGCACCTGTTTTATTTCTACCACATAATAAAGGTTGTGACTTCTATAAAGTATTCCAGCATCACTGTATCTTGAAAATATTTGACGTTAACTTTAAGGGCTTGAAAACAGACTGGAAAAAAAAAAAAACGTTTTGCTGTTCTTTAGAGGAAGCCCGTGTGAAACATGAAAAAGAAGAAATGGAGAGACTTGAAATACAACGAACTGAGAAAGAAAAATGGCGAAAACTTGAAGCAAAAGTAAATACACGTTAATGATATTATTACTGAAGACAAACTATGTGGCTGTCAGATCTGTCTGGCCATTTAATGTTCTTCCGCATAGCTACTAGTAGCATTTAGGCCTTATGTGAACTGGTTTAACTCATTTAATCCTATCAGAGAGTTATGGTGGGTAAATTATTACCCACATTTCATAGATCAGGAAATTGAGGAATAGAGAGATTAAGAAACTAGGAAGTTACAGAGTCAGGACTTAGACAGTAGTAGCCTGAGCCTGTGCTTAAAACTATTAAGTTATTATTCTCACCTTTAATGAAAAAGAATATGAAAACAAATATATGTATGCATATGCATGACTGGGACATTGTGCTGTACACCAGAAACTGACACATTGTAACTGACTGAACTTCAATTTAAAAATAAAAAAGGTATTATTCTCAATGTGTTATGGATAATTAAATAGGGACAAAAAATGTTCAAATTCTACCAAATGTCATATGTTAAAATTTTGCTTCTCTTTTTCATCAGAATTTTCATTATTGGATCAGTAGGACTGAGATATTTTAATCCCAGGACAAAACCTCATTACTGTTAAAAACTGAAGACCCCCCCCAAGGAGCTTTTGTTCATAGGGGTTATCTCCATCAATATTTACCATATTAGATATTAAAACAGAATTTAAAGACATTTATTATATTAAAAGAGATTAAACATTATTAAAAATAAACATGAATAAAAAACAAGTACATTAACATACTTTTAAGAAAAAACAATTACAATATATATATATTTATTGAAATATAATTGACATTATTATTAGTTTCAGGTGTACAACATAATGATTCAATAGTTGGACATATTGTGAAATGATCCCACAGTAAATCTAGTTAACATCCAGCACCACACACTATATATATTTTTAAATTAGGAAAATGAGTGGCATTGTTTATATTTTTATAACCTCTTTAATATCTGACTTAACAGGAGACAATGGGATCTCATATCTCCTTCATTATTCCATCTGTTACAATGTGTTGTTTTGACTGAAGTATATTAAAAAATATCTGGCCTCACACAGTTATGTAGTGGGGAAAGGAGGAGTACTGTAGTAACCTTTCAGATCACCGTGGCTGGTCTTCTTTGATACTATACTGAAACTCAGTAGATGGTAGTACCTTAATGTGAAACCAAATCAATGACCTTTACATACGCTATCATACTAAAACACTGATCTGTTCTTAAACTCTGAATAGATCTTGTATCCATGCATGATTTTGCAATATTATGCATTGGTTGCTTGGAAAAATTGGTTCACTGAATTATTTGCTTCCAAACGTTGACACATTTTTAGTATTCATTATCCAAAAAAGTCACATGCATGAATATCATCGCCAATCAAATCAGAAAAGTGTTTAAGGCACAACATTGTAAAATGATTATAAATCAATAAAAAATGTTAAAAAAAAAAGAAAAGTGTTTAAGGATTGGGAAACTGTCACACTCACTAGTGGTGGACACAAGTTTTCTAAAATTCAGATTTGTATCTGAAAGCTTGAATTTTATCAGAAACAAGTACTTTGAGTTGTTTCCTGAAAGTGACACACTCACTTCATTTTTGAAAGAATACTAAAATACTCAAATAATTGCACAAGTGTTTATTTCTTAAGATAGCATTGTCCTTTGATAGGTAGCAGAAGTGCTTTATGCTTACACCCCATTTTATCATACAGAATAATACAAAGGCATATACTTAAGCTGTGACTTTAATGAAATTAGTAACTTTCACTTATTCTTCAGGTCATTCTTATGTGAGTCTGACTGGTTACTACCCGCCTTCCCGGCAGGGTAAGACCACCAGTACAGCCTGTGCCAGTTTGTGCTAAGGCACCGGCAGCTTTACACCATCTTGCACCATCAGTGCAAATGTGTACACTGCAAAAAAAGCAAAAATGCCTTAGTATAATTATGAAAATAGATTTGACCTCAGATCCTGAAAGAGTTTGGGGGACCCACTGGGAGTCTGCAGATCCCACTTTGTAAACCACTGTTTCAGATTAAACTGCTTGGAAATAACAGTTACATTCATTCTCATTTCAGTATTCATCTTGAGGGCTAAATACTTTGTCTAGTACATTTTAGATGCTACTTGTGAGACACAAAGCTGAAATTAAAGACAAGATCAATGTTATGTATTCGCATGCAACAGGCTCTAGAAAGGAGCAATGAAGAACTTGAAGAACTTTATTTATTAGAGAGGTGTTTCCCTGAAGCAGAGAAATTGAAACGAGAGAAGAGATTGCTTTCTCAGGTAAAACTGCTTTTTTATTTTTAGTTAATGCTTTGACAACAAAAGAGGGAGTTGTAATCTGGTATCCAGATTAATAACAAGAAAATTTAAATTTGTCTATAAAAAAATCTCTGATCTGACAAATCTCTCTCTCATCTTGCTTGTAGTGAAGTAAATTCATGTAGTTTTGAGAAAACTATTTGTCAAAAATAAGATCCTTGACATTTTTATGTCCTTTGATTCTGATTTAATTTTGGGGACTCTATACTGAGGGAATTATCCTAATTCAGATATATAAGATATCCTAATTAAGATATATAATTAAGATGTATTTTTTATCTTAAGCTTAATGAGCTTAAGGCAATCTAGTGTTTCTCAAAACAGCATAACTTTGGAAACAATATAGATGATGATCAGGATAAAAAGGGAAAATTGTAATAATATGGCAAAAGATTGTAGTATAATTTAAAGCGAAAAAATTGTGAGTACAGTATGATTACAAATGTTGAACTTGCACTGACTAGAAAATGAATGGAAGGACTCATCCTGAAATGACAGTGGCGATGAACAATTAGTAATAATTTGAGAGGCAGAAGACAGCCCAAGTGTTAGCTTTTGTACACACAGGAGCTGTATGATTGGAGAGGAAAGCAAACCAAAATCAACTCATAAATACTGTTTTAAAGATTCAAATATGACAATAAATAGAATATCTATTAATTTGAATTATTAAGGCTTATACATTATTTTGATGAAGAGGAATTTTGTTATTTTTACAGATATCTCAAGAAACTAGTTAAAGTCATAATATGTTTTTTGCCTAAATTGGGAAAACTAGGTTATAAGAACTCATACTTTGAAAAAGAAGGAATTTTTAATCTTTGGTTGAATTTTCATCCGTGTGAACCTTCAAACATTTTTACTCCACAGTGGAAACACTACATTCAATGTGATGGGAGTCCTGATCCTTCAATATCCCAAGAAATTAATACTTTTATTAGCTTGTGGAAAGAGGAAACCAATGAGACTTTTGAGGCAGTGATTGCAAAGAGTAAATTAGTGCTAAATGTAAGTATTTAAGTGTTATTCTGTACTCTGATACTGACTCTAAAAATAGAGATAAATTAAATACATATAGTATTTGCCAATTCATAACACTACTACTTCCTTGGCTATGGAGAGGATATTTGCTCATCTTTTTGGTCTCTTTTTTTCTTTTTACAACTCCTAAAAACCTCTTCCCACCTTAGGTAAGATCAACCTAACATAAATCTGAAATATTAACTGTATGTGCGTCTAACAAGAAAAAAGTTCAAGTTGCATCCATTTATGTAGATAACTCAAGTAGAAAATTGTGTGATTTTATCCTCGGCTGGAATTAGCCACTCTTCAGTGATTCAGTACACATTTTTTTTTAATGTTAACTATGTGCCAGGCACCACTTTTAAGCACAGGAAGTATAAAAATGAATAAGAATATCTATTTCTGCAAATAGGATGGATAGGCTAGTCTGAGGAGCTACCACTTCACAGTGCACTTAAAAATGCTAGGGAAAAAAGTTTAAGGACATTTAAATCCATTGCCCATCTCAAAAGAAAGTAAAGGAAAATCTTGGAGGCCATAAAACAATTCAGAAAAGTAGGCAAGTCTCAAAGTCGCTTCCCAGAGCAACTGTTAACCCCTGGTGGTTTAGCATTCATTTAAAGGGACATCAGGAGGCAAAGCCTAGGGTACAAGCAAGGTGACAAGTTGGATCAGGGACTCTTTTATGGCTGAGAGACTCAAAAAGGTAATGTGGACAATGTGGATAATTGGGAAAAAACTGCTCTGCAACGGGAGATGATAACTTGACTGGTTCACCTTTACTGTTTTTGTTGTTTGGGCTTTTTTGTGGGGGGGAGGTAATTAGGTTTATTTATTTATTTACTTTTTTGATTAAACCCAGGACCTTGTGCGTACTAAGCATGCACTCTACCACTGAGCTATATCCTCCCCCTGAGAATTTTTAATAAAGGGTGAGTCAGAAGTTAGACTGGAAGAATTTATCAGAATACAGCACAGAGAGATAAAGAGATGAAAAATATCAAAGAGTAGTTAACAAACAGGTATAATGGCACAAAAAGGGCTAGACATATCTTGAAAAGGAGTACCAGAAGGAGATCTAGAGTAAGGGAGAGACAATATTCAGAGATAATGGCAGACAATTTTCCAGAATCCCCAGAAACCGAACAAATCTTAAGTTAGGATAAACAGAAAGGAATTCGCACTTACACACATCTACGTAACAGTAGAAACTTGGTGGAATTCACAGTCTTCAGAGTCCTTTTATCCTCTGATGCTTTTGTTTCAATTCCTTACCATGTTCTGGTGCTTCTTGTTACTGTGGTTTGCACCTTCTCCATGTTGCTATCAAATGGGATAACTCCAGACGCTGTTAAGGTCATAACATGCTTTGCCTAATTTAATCCGGACCACAAGTTTATGAGATTCATTTTACATATGAAGAAACAGATTGTGACATGCTTACAGTCCCCTACAAGACCTTAGATGGGCCTTATTCTGACTTTGCAAATGCTGCAAAGAGCCTCCCATACATTGTGAGATGTTTGGACACTAATGGATTCATCATACAGTGTTCTTGTAATTGCATATCCTGTCTACCAGGGAGGCTGCCATGGCGTGATGCTGGTCCAGGAATCTGCTGCTCTTTGATTAGCAGGGAGGCAGCAGGATGGAGACTAGAGATCACGAGTGATGAGATGGTTGTGACATCTTCCTATTATGAATGTGGGGTATAGAAGCGGAAGTAATAAATAGTAGGGGGAGATGAGAAAAGGATAAGTAAAGCAAAAAGGGGACAGAAGAGGAGAATAATCAGTAGCAATAGGAAACGAAAGCAGGAAGCCACAAGAAAAAGAGAATGAATTGAATAGCAGTGATCCCATTGTAAACACCAAGTTCCAAATTATCCCACTTATTTATTTGACAAACTCTTAGATGACACTTACTATACCAGGCTTTCTCAGCCTGGTTCCGGTTATTCAGCTGAATTTCCCTAATAACACTATGACGTAGGCACCATTACCCCATTTTACAAACGAAAAAGGCAAGGTACAGAGATGTTAACTAACTTGGCCAAGGTCACACCTGGTAGCAGGTGATAAGGATGGATGCCCAGGTTTCAGGCTTGAGCCCTTAACTACCCAGCACTACTACGCTGTCTCTCTCAGTTTAGACATTTGCTATGTATTATCTGTCAGCGTGCAAAATTAAATCCTGCCACTTATTAGCTGTTACTTGAACATGCTGTGCCTCCATTTCTCTTAATTTTTTTTTTGTTTGTTTTCTTTTGCCGGGGGAGGTAATTAGGTTTTTTATTTCTTTATTTTTAGAGGAGGTGCTGGGGATTGAACCCAAGACCTCGTGCATGCTAGACCACTTGAGCTATACCGTCTCCCCAACACTTTAAATACCTCTCCACTTTCTTCTTACTTTCTGAGAAGTAGGATATAATTGTTAACTTTGTTCCTCTAAAGGTGAGGTACTTTTTTCCTTTGGCTGCTCTTAGGAATTTTTCTTTATCTCTGATTTTCTGTATTTTGAAAATGATATGAATAAATAAAGAGTTTTTTGTTTTTCTTTGTTTTGCCATTTATCGTGCTTCGTGTTCTCTGAGCGTCCTGAATCTGTAGTTTGGGGTCTGACAGTAGATTGGGGAAATTCTCAGTCATTATTATTTAAAGTATTTCTCTTGTACTCTTCTTTTTCTTCTGGTATTTCTATGGCATATTTGCTACATTTTTTGGTAGTTGTCCCATGGTCCTTGGATATTCTATTTTGCTTTTTCCAGTCTTTGTTCTCTTTGCTTTTTGGTTTTGAAGATCCCATTCTCTAGCTTAGAGATTCTTTCCTCAGCTGAGTCCGGCTAAGGCCTAAGCTTGTCAAAGGCGTTCTCCATTTCTCTTGAACTGTTTTTGATCTTAGCTTTTCTTTCTGGTTCTTTCTTAGGATTTCCCTCTCTCTGCTTTACATCGTCCTCTATTCTTGCATGCCATCTACTTTATCCACTAGAGCCCTTAGCATATTAATCGCAGGTGTTTTAAACTCCTGATTTGATCATTCTAACATCCCTGCCATGTCTGGCTGTGATGCTTGCTCTGTCTCTTCAAATTGTGGGTTTTGCCTTTCGGTATGCCTTGTAATTTTTTCTTGATAGCTGGACATGATGTTGTGGGTAAAAGGAACTGCTGTAAATAAGCCCTTAGTAACGTGGCGGTAAGGTGGGATTGGGGAGCGGAGACCTGTGATTTGGCCCCAGTCTTTCAGCAAGCCTGTGCCTCTGGACGGTGAACTTCGCAAGTGTTTGTGGTTTTTCTTATTCCCTCTTAGGTGGGAGGGGATAGCTCGAGCCAGCTGGAGTTGGGTGGTTCCTTTCCCCGGGTGATTTAGGCTCTGATGAAATTCCAGGTAGGCTCTAGTTAATTACTTTCCCGAGATCAAGCCCTGTGAAGAACAGAGTGCTCTGGTTTGTGGGTCCTTTTCCCCTCCCCCTGTCGCAGGCACGAGGGGGTTTATTCCGCTCATTTTTTGTGGGCACCGTGTTGAGCACCTGCAGCTAAGTCTCGCGATAGTAAATCTCGCCATACGCTGGGCGCTCACGCTCCCCGGGCAGCGTCCTCCCGGAAGTTTGTGGCTCTCACCGCGCTCTGATCCTCCAGCGACTCTTCCTGCGGTTCATGTTTTCCTACGTGGCACCGGCTCCCCCGCAGTGGTTTTTCCTCCTGACTCTGCTCAGGTAAACCGACTCGCTGAATTCACCAGTGGGTCTCCAGTCTTGGGGACGGGGATTTGCCCTGTGTCGTCCTCTGTTATGGGTCAAAGAAGAGTTGGTTTTTCCGTCTGTTCAGCTTCTCCCTTGTTAGGGTGGAGTGGCGTCCTCCAAGCTCCTTACTGGTGGAACCGGATTGCCTCAGTTTCCTCACCTATAAAATAGGCACAATGAACAGTAGTAGTGGTAACTTGCAGAGCTGAATGAACAGAATGACGTAAAACACATAAAGCATTTAGAACAGTTCCTGGCACATAGTAAGCATTCGGTATGTGTTAGTAATTCTCCTCCTCCTCTTTCTCCTCTCTCTCCCCGTCAGTGTTGCCATCGTATTGTTATTCTGTTGTTCCGCAGTCTTAGGTCATGACCAGCTGTGCCTCATATGTAAGCTTGCTAATGACAGCTCTGTTTCACATGGTTGAGAACTCTTAGAATGGAGTTTTTAGAGGCTATATTTTATTTTTCCGTGCTCTTAAATAATGCAATAAATACAGGGAAGTATTTTTATATGTTTTACTGGTGATGTGTTTCTCAATTGAAAAGTGATAAACATCCCCCATTTCGCGTTTTCTTTGACTCTGTCAGAAGATTACTTTTATAGTAAACTTACTTTTTATGTTTACTTTTACTTATAGTTAATTGAGAGATTGAAATTAATTTTATTGGAAACCCCACCGTATGATTTGCAAGACAAAAACATAGCACAGTACCAGGGATCAATTCTAGAACTGCGGGAGCTCCTTCATCTTAAGTTTAACATAGCCACAGAAATACTTCTCAGAGTAAGTGTGATGTTTTGCTTTACACTTTACTAACTTTTGTAAGAGTTAAAATTTTATATAGTTTTTAAAATCCAGTATCTTTTTTTTTTTAAGAATTAAATAAAACGTTATGGGAAAGTCAGTAGAATAATTTAAGACACATGTCGTTATCCACATTTAACAACTGTAAACATTTTAAAGAAATAAAACATTATCAATATAACTAAGGTATAGGATTTTATTCTTATACTTGCTGAGGTTTACTGGGACCATTATGAAAATAAATTAGATATTCACTCTAAATGAATCAATTGACGCAAGATTACAATGATTGGTAATTACTCTATTTTTGCCAAATATCTTAGCACTAATGATAATATCCAAATAATTGTAGAACCATTATTATACCTAAAAAAGTAATAATTCCATAATATATTCTAATACCTATCCATATTTAAATTTTTAAATACCTGTCCATATTAAATTTTTCCTGTCATGCCATGAATATCTTCTATAGCTGTTTTTGTTTTGTTTTGTTTTTTAAATCAGAACACAATCTAAGGTGACACATTAGTTTTGGCTGTTTTGTCTCTGGGTTTCTTTTGATCTAGAACATAGTCACGTTTATAGTCTTGGTAGAATATATTCTCTTTTTTCTGTGTTTAAATTATTTTATTTTTTAATTTTATTGGGGGGGGTAATTAGGTTTATTTATTCTTGATGGAGGTACTAGGGATTGAACCCAGGACCTAATGTATGCTAGGCATGCACTCTACCACTGAGCTATGCCCTCTCCCAGAATATGTTCTAATTACCAGAAAAAAACTGCAAAGAAGGCTTAATCATCACTAAATTTATTGTTAACAGTAATATTCATAATTTTGCATCTATTTTATTTATATTGTAAGAGAAAGTCAGTAAGGAAACGTATTATAATTATTAGTAATCACGACTTTTACTTTAAGAGAAAAAAGATACATTATATTAAAAAGATTAGAGAGAATACCATAGTGTTAAATTTGTAATGAAAATATCAGTAAGAACGAGATTTCTTTTTATTCCATATAAAGGAACCAGGTCTAATTGGGGTAAATGGCTGATTCAGGTTTGGTGCAGGGGAAGTGAAAGCTGAGGTTGTTACTGAAAGATGGGGTTGAGTAATCTTGTGCCAGAAAGCAAGTAAATACTGAAAGACTAATGGAGTCATATCCAAAGGGACAGGACTGGCTTAAAGAAGCTCCCACTGGGATAATTTGAATATCAGAATGAAAAATGACTGTAATTGATGATAGTACGTTGAATAAATAAAAATGCATCAGTCTACAGTAATACTCCAAAAAGGAAGGCGGAAAGTGGGGTTGGGGGATGGGTTGGGGAGAACAGCTCTTTACAGAGGAATACTATCTGATAAATGTGGAAGGAATGGTCAAGTAGAAAATCACCATTTTTCAATTCCCAGTGTAATAATTGATAAAGATCATCAATGTCTACCTAAATAATTAGGTGAAAAGTTGAGGAACACATTATTCTCATACTGCCAAAGTATTAGACCACAGATTACTTACTGACTGGAAAAAAACATACTTTGCAAGGTGGGTGGTCACCACCTTAACCAAGTGCTCAAGTCCACGTTGTTAACAGTGGGGCATCGTATGCCTTCTGATACGATGCAGTCTGAAGAACTCAACATAACATCCACCATGCCTTCCTGCCAGAAATGGTTCATCTAATCTAATTAAAACTACCTACACCTAACATCCAGTGTTCAAAAAATGAAGAGGATAGACAAGCGAGTTAAACCATAAGGAAGCAACCAGATAAATCCACAATGTGGAACAGCTCTACAAGGTAACTATCCTGGATGCCTCGAAAAGTTAGTGTCAGAAAAAAAAAGTATGGGAGAATAATCACTTCTTTAAAAAATTAGCAATAAATTCAATCCCCAATACTTATTTTTTAATTTGGAAGTAACAGTATTTATTTATTTGTTTACTTATTTATTCTATTGAAGTATAGTCCGTTACAATGTGTCAATTTCTGGTGTACAGCACAGTATCCCAGTCATGCATATACATACATATATTCATTTTCATATTTTTTCGTTAAAGATTATTACAAGATATTGAATAATGTTCCCTGTGCTATACAAAAGAAACTTTTAGGTTTTTACATTCTAGGAACCAAATACATACTGGCTTATTCAAAGCCTTTAAGAGAGCTAATTTCTTAAGCCATAGGCATCAACCTATGTTAGTCTTAAAAAATTCTTAAGAACATCCTTAAATTGTATGTTTAATGTTGGATATCAAGTATTGGACTAGTAAAACACATGATTCATCTGGATTCTATCAACTGGATATTTTGTTTTCTAAACTTGGTATGTTCAGCAATAGGCTAACTTCTGCAGTAACATAACGTACATTATAATAGAGTAAGGATAAAGAAGCATGTATGTAGCTCAAATGAAAAGTCATGACAATGTAAAAATTGAAAAGGGTAGCCTAAGTATAACCCACAAGGGCTACCTGGGGATAAAGGAGCAACATCAGTTCCCTAGACACCTTAAGAGAAACTGAGTGGACAAGGGGAAGCACACTTAATTAAATGAATAAGTTTTGTTTAGCGAATTTTTTTTAAAACAACTTTTTGTTTTAATTGGACCTCATTTTTACCCAACTTACTCTTTTAAATATTGAAGGGAATCCAACACCTAAGTGATAGGATAGCTTATCTAAGTGGCATAACTTATGAGGCCTCTAATCTTTATAAAGTTTTCTTTTCCTCTTGCAGCAAGCTAGTACTTTAGCAGATCTGGACAGTGGAAATATGGAAAAAGTCATTCAAGATGAAAATGTTACTCTCTATGTGTGGGCAAACCTCAAGAAGAATCCAAGGTATTCCATGGGTGATACTGTAGATACTGGAGGTCTGAAGGCAGTAGGGTCACATCGGGATGACCAGGCAGAGGCCTGTCGCATTACAGCGTAGCATACTTAACAAAATCTCATGTTAGGAAGTCGGCCAACTGGGCTTTGACTCATAGACCTGCCATTTATCTTAGGCAAGTTACTTAGCATTCTTGTTATGCTTCAATGTATCAGCAGTAAAGTGATGATTATGTCACTTAATAGGACTGGGCTGAGGATTAAATGTTAACACATGTAAGGGTCATAGGGCGGTGACTAGTACAAACACACACTGAATAAATACCAGGTTTTCCTCTTCTTTTCACACTTAACCTCCCTCCCCACCAAAAAGTAGAAGTGGTGGGTGCTTTCTACATGGCAGTCTGAAACAAACAAACAAAAATTTATCTTTGTGAACTGTTAAAAATAAGATTTTCACATTTATTATTTTTTATGTATTTAAGAGATTGTTCCCCCAATCATTCATTTTCAACAAAGTAATACCATTCTGAGGAGTGATAGAGATAATGGTAAATTCATGACCACTCAGTTACTGCTGTATCTCAAACATGTCAAGTTAATGGAGTTAGTATGGCCTCGAGTTTTAGGGGGAAATGACCAGAATAGAGGTTAGGAGGCCTAGTTTCTGGTCCCAGCTCTGAAAAGACTGATCATATGACAATGGGAAAAACTGGACTTTATTTTTGATATTTAGTCAAAGGAAGGAACAAACTATTTTCAAAGTCCGATTTGCTGCAAAATTCTCTGTGGTTTAATCGAAGTCAATATATTAATATAACCTTTTTCATTGTAAAATATGTTAAATATAGAAGAGTGAAGGAAATTAATCTGTATAATTTAAAAAAGTACAATGAGTAGCCCTATATTAACTCCCCAGTTCTAAGAAGAGAATTAGGTGGTGTCGTACTACTAAGATAAGGAATAATGGAGGCAGAACAAGTTTTGTGGTGATGGTGATTGTGATGGTGAGGGGGTGGTTGGGGTGAAGAGTTCAGTGTTTCGCTTGCCGAGTCTGAAGTACCTGTGAGACATCAGAGTGCAACTGTCTGAGCCATTGAGAGGAATCTGAGTTGGATATATATTTTGGGGAGTCAGTAGCATATAGATCAATAGTTCTTAACTTGGAAGTCATAGATTCTTACCAACTTTAAATGATTACATATGTTCACCCATATGTAAGGGCATTTTTGGATCTTTTAAAGTTCATTCAGGGATGCTTCCCCTAGGAAATGTAAAACTCATGCTAAAAACTCCTGGTAATATAAATAATAATTGAAGCCATACAAATGATAATATACAGGGAGCATATGTAGAGGGAGAAGGAAAGAAGGCCCAGGATGGAGAGCTGAGTGACGTGTACACTTAAGGGATAGTTAGGAAGGAGGCCATAGAAAGGAACAGAAGGAGCTGCCAGAGATGGAGGAAAGGAGAATGGAGTCATGGATCCTAAGAGAGTTCTGAGAAAGGTAACATCAGCAACTGGTTCAAATGCTGCACAGAAAGCAAGTGCGGGTTGGGACTCAGAACTAGTGCGAAATCAAAGTGGAGAGAAATACTGCTTAGGTATATAATTTCACAACAGATCTAGAATTTCTAGAGCCTCATCCTTTTTGTTAAATTAATTGACAGGTACAGAAGTGTCAGATTCTCTGAGACACAGATTGGATTTGAAATTCCGAGGATACTAGCAACATCTGACATTGCTCTGCGACTCCTGCATACTCACTATGATCACGTCACGCCGCTGAGGCCCGTTCCAGCAGCATCACAGGAAAACACCTCCACAGTAACTCCCGTTGTCAAAGGTGAAGTTAAGAGCGTAGAAACAGCAATCAGCAAAAATCTCCAAGAAGAGCGTAAACAACAAGAAAATGAGTCTCACTCAGTTCATGAGGAAGAAACAGAAGTCATGGAGGAACAAGATGATACTGAAAGACAAACGGTAGGACACTTGATGTGTACATTTTTCTTCATGTAACAAATGTTATTAGATTCCCTTGAAGCATCTCAAGATTTCTAACAACTGGCAACTGTCTGAAAGTCACTTTCTTGCCAGTGGCTCGTTTTGAATGCATAGTTTTTTTCTTGCCTTCTATTTATAGTCACTATTCATAGTTGAGCCTGTTGCTCCAACATCATAAAGTTGAGCACAGGAATTGCTCATTTTTATTTAAGAGTCAATCCTGAAAAGCTTTGAAGCAATTTAATTTTTGTGTATTTATTATATTTCAAACTCACTTAAGGGAACTTATGATAAATACTTTCACAAACTGAAGGGTTATCTTACGTTACTCTTACTTTATCAGCTTTTGGTGTTGTAATTATATAAAGTTAAAATTGACATTTTAAAAACTGTTGTATTCCTCTTAAAATGTGACATCTTTAGATATAATAATATATTATTTGAGCAATTTAATAATCATATTCCGTTAGTTGGTTTCTGCTCTTTTTTCTATTTCCAGTATTTTCAAGCTACTTACTTATTATGATAGAATAAATTGTCTCTTTTTAGAATTTAGTAATACTTTCTCAGAATTGAGCAGCTGTTTTGTTTAGCCATAGACAATTTGCATTTTAGGAAGGACCAGGTTTTCCTACAAGTACTTAAGATGTGAAATGTGCTGGTTTATTGTTTATTTTCTTTAAACACAGGTAAGGATTAAGAATTAAACTGAATACAAATTTCAAATCAAATAAGGATTATTAGATATTCTAAGAACATGTTTATTGAAAAATTCCATTTAAAAATTCTATTTGATTACACCAGAATCAAAAATTATAGTGATTCTATAGCAAAATAGAAAAAAGATAAGACAAATAACAAAGTTTAGAGTATGATTACAACCATGAAAAATTTTAAAGGCATAGGGGAGGAAAACCGAGAAAACTGTATATAGCTGATATTTTAGAGGTGGGAAAAATTTAGTTTATTCTTTTAAAATCAGTCACTTTTAAAGAAATGCTTTATCAGCAATCTGGTAGCTTTTAAATAAAAAATTTCATTTTACCTCTCAGGTAGCATGCTAGTTTTACAAAAGTTCATCAATATTTCTAATTTTCTTATCTTTCTTGGACATATGGAAAGATTACACTCCTCACTGCCTTGAAATTAGGTGTGACCATGTGACTTGCTTTAGCTAATAAGATGTGAGTGGAAGTGACATATTGATTTCTAAGGGCAGGGGGGATAAAGAATGAGTAAATGGGCCCTGGATGTGACATTATTTAAATATGCAGTAAAAAACTAACTGAAGACCCTTAAACTTAAAATTTGGTAGGATTTATGATTGAAAATCCATGAAAACAAAGATCAAATAAAAAGGTATCAAAATTATTGTATGAAGAGAGTATCTAAAAATGTTTGATCTTGGGGGGAGGGTATAGCTTAAGTGGTAGAGCACATGCCTAGCATGCATGAGGTTCTGGGTTCAATCCCCAGTACCTCTTCTAAGAATAAATAAATGAATAAACCTAATTACCTCCCCCCACCAAAAAAACAAAAGCAAAACAAACAAAAAAGTTTGGTCTTGATCTGATAAGGTGATTTCTGTATAAAAGAAATTCCAGAAAGCAAGAAGGAAAAGGATGAATTTAACATAATTGGCACTGAGATAGCTGGCTAAGATTTGAAATAAAATAAATTTCCATTTATGCTTCAGTCTGCAGATTAAAAAAATGAATCGAAAGGTTTAAATATAAAAACAAACTAAGCTAATCAAAATTCATAAAATAATAAAAGTATTTGAAGAAGACGTAGGGGAGTTATTTTATCATTTTCACAAGATCTTATTTAATCAGTGCATCAAAACCAAAACCATTAAAAAAAAAAGATTCAAACATTTGGATAGCCAAATAAACATCACTATAAATAAAGTTGAAAGACAATGAACTAAGAAAGATACTGAAACATAGAAAGCAAGTGGTGTATCCTAATATAAAGAACTCAGAGGGGTGGGGAAGGGTATATATCTCTCAGTGGTAGAGTGAGTGCTTAGCATGCATGAGGTCATGGGTTCGATCCCTAGTACCTCCAGTTAAAAAGAAAAAAAAAGAAACCTCATACAAATTGGTAAGAAGACCATTTCCTAATAATATAAAATTAGGCAAAGGGTTGGAGCAGACGGATGAGAAAGAGAGATGCAACTAGCCAATAAAAATATGAAAAGATAACCAAATAAGTAATCAAATTGGAACTGACATTGTACAACTTCTTACCAGCTTGAGCATGAGAGGATGCAGGCATTTTCACCCGCTGTTGTTAAAAGTGTAAATTTGTACAGTCTTTCTGAATGGAAATTTGGCACCACATAAATGTACCTATTAGTGATTTTAATTTTAGTGATTTATTATGAAATAATAGGACAAGTAAGTAAAAATGAATGTGCTGCAGTGTTCATTGAAGTTTTTTATAGTACCAAACATAGTTCATAGATTAAGCAAATTATAAAATACTCAAATAGTAGCCATTCAAATGATAAAGATTTTTTTAATTAGAAAATTTTATTGAGATATACATGACATATAGCATTATATTAGTTTTGGTGTACAACACAGTGATTTGATATTTCTATAGGCTGTGAAATAATCTCCACAATAAGTCTGATTAACATTCATCACCACATATAGCTACAATTCTTTTCTTGTAATGAGAACTTTTAAGAGCTCTCTTACCAACTTTCAAATTTAAAAATACAGTATTATTAGCTGTGGTCACCATGTTGTACATTCATCCCAAGAATTTATTTTTAACTGGAGGTTTGTACCTTTTGGCTACCTTCACGCATTTTGTTCACCTTCATCCTTGACCTCTGGCAACCACCAGTCTGTTGTCTGTATCTGCGTTTTGTTTTGTTTTAGATTCTATGTAAAAGTGAGATCATCTGGTATTTATCTTTCTCTGACTAACTTACTTCACCTAGCATAACATCCTCAGGGTCCACCATGTTGTCTCAAATGGTAAGATTTCCTCCTTTTTTATGGTTGAATATTATTCCATCGTCTGTATATATCACATTTTCTTTTTCCATTCATCTGCTGATGAACTCTTAACGTTGGTTCCATGTCTTGGCTATTGTGGATAATGCAGTGAATGTGGAGGTGCATCCATCTTTTTGAGTTAACGTTTTTGTTTCCTTCAGATAAATACCCAAAAGTGGAAATGCTGGATCATATGGTAGTTTTATTTTTAATTTTTTTGAGGACACTGCATGCTGTTTTGCATAGATGCTGTACCAATTTACATTTCCACCAACAGCACACAAGAGTTCCCTTCCTTCCCCATTCTTGCCAGCACTTATTTCTTGTCTTTTTGATAATAGCTCTTCTAACAGATAATATTTCATTGCAGTTTCGATTTGCATTTCCCTGATGGTTAGTGATGTTGAGCACCTTTTCATGTGCCTGTTGGCCATTTATGTGTTGTCCTGAAAAACATCTGTTCAGATCTTCTGCCTGTTCTTCATTTGGAATTTTTTTTTTTTTGCTATTGAATTGTGTGAATTCTCTATGTGTTTTGGATATTAGCCCTTTATCAAATACTTGATTTGCAAATGTTTTCTCACATTGGGTAGGTTGCCTTTTCATTTTGTTGATTGTTTCTTCTGCTATGCAGAAGCTTTTTAATTTGATGTAGTCTCACTTGTTTATCTTTGCTTTTGTTACCTTTGCTTTTGGTGTCAAATCCAAAAATCATCGCCAAGACTTACGTCAAGGAATTCACCACTTATGTGAGTCTTATGATTTCAATCTTATGTTCAAGTCTTTAATCCATTTTGAGTTAATTTTTGTATATGGTATAGGATAGTCTCTTACCACATTCATTTACACCCACCACACAACTTTCAGTATAGCTGGGAATAGCAATTTCTTTATGAGCAGGAACTGTAATTACTGGCTTCCACCATAAAACAAAAGCATCTCTGGCCCAGTTTCTACTACAAGGAACACCAGTCTCTCTCTTATCCCTATGCTAGCAATTATTGAAACTATTAGCTTATTTATACAACTAATGGCCCTAGCCATACAACTGATGGCTAGTATCACAGCTGGCCACCTATTAATTTACTTAATCAGAGGGGCAGTCCTGGCCCTAATAAGCATTAACCCTACCACAGCCTTCAATACGTTGGTTATTCGTTTTCTGCTCACTGCCCTTGAATTCGCAGTAGCCCTTATTCAGGCTTATGTGTTCACCCTGCTCGTAAGCCTCTGCATGTACACAGTAACACATAATGACCCACCAAGCCATGCATGCCTGTCATTAACCCCAGCCCCTGACCTCTTACAGCAGCCCTCTCAGCCCTTCTCATAACATCTGGTCTAGTCATATGATTCCATTTAAACTAAGCATTTTTATTATCCTTGAGCTTATTAACCAACATCTTCACAATATACCAATGATGATGAACCATTTTCAAGGCCATCATATACCAGTGGTTCAAAAAGAACTTTGATATGGAATAATCCTATTATTTCAGAGGTTCTCTTTTTTACTGGCTTCTTTGGAGCTTGTATCATTCACGTCTTGCCCCTACATCTGAATTTAGGTGGTTGATAACCAATAGGCATTCACCCCCTAAATCCATTAGAAGTACCACTTCTCAAGACCTCTGTCTTACTGGCCTCTGGAGTATCTATTACCTGACTCCAACACAGCTTGGTAGGAGGAAATTGTAAGCATATACTTCAAGCCCTTTTTATTACAATCTCTCTAGGAGTTTACACTACTATAAGCCTCCGAATATTAGGAGACACCTCTTAGCATCTCAGATGGAGTGTATAGATCAACATTCTGAATGGCCACAGACTTCCGTGGTCTTCACAAGATCATTGGCTCTACTTTCCTAATCATCTGCTTCCTGTGCCAACTAAAGTTTCACTTTACATCTCACCATCGTTCTCGGTTTGAAGCGGCTGCCTGATACTGACACTTCATAGATATAG